CTAGCTCGTTGCAAGCCGCCTACAGGCAAACTCGAGCTGTAACTCGCCCTAATATCCTCCTCTTTACTAAATCACGCACAGATGGAGGGGTCATAAGCAGAGTCATTTATTAGTCGGAGTATCATTTACTCTTCCCATGATACTCAGACTGAGTAACACACTTTGTAGCATACGGCATACTTTTGGCATAAGTTACTCAAAAGATTTTCCAATAGCTGTAAGCATTCTAAAGCCCCTAATATATTTTGGCTGTGCTTTAAACTGACCGGGAGTCCAATTCTTGAAAACGAGTGAGTAGAATTACCAGTAGTAAGTGATCTATTACCTTTCAGGATTTGACGTCTATTATAACATATTTGGAAATAATTTTGTGAATGAATGAAAAGAATATGCTTGTAGGTTCTTCAATTTGTTAAACGCTTCATCATAAAGTTGTTCGACTTTAGAAATGAGACTGATGGACGACGGCGAGTCTTCTGCATTTCTTGTCTTGAGAATTAACAGGGCCAGAGGAGCGAGTCTTCTTTCATTGTTAAAGACCCACGCGCGATTTCTATCCGTAGAATATTCTCTTGATTTCAAAAAAAGGTCCCCAGAAGCTCGGAAATAGTGGAAAACAAAGTATGGAGATTCTTTGAATTTTTGACCGTTCTAAAAATATTTAATATGCCTATAATAATAATAATTATAATTATTTATTGGTACTATTACACAAAAATGTGTTTGTACAGGTCATTTAAAGTAGAACATAAAAGAGTAAGTAAAAGTAACAAACAATACGAAAATAAGACAAACGTATAACACAAAGTGGCAATAAAAGGTAAAAAAAACTTGATAAAACTATTTTAAAATTTAGAGGAACAATAAAATAAGATGGTTAAAAAATTATGAAATACTAATCATTTTTTCATGTTTGTACTCAAAAGTCCTTACACACGTCTGGAGAACGATAAAATATAATACAAAAATAACACATTAAAAAAAACACAAACGAAAACAAAGTAATAAATAGTCAACAATTATGGAACAAAGTCGGTAAAATCATTATTTAAAAACTCATCTATGCTGTAAAAAGCTTTCGTCACTAGATATCTTTTCACAGTTGCTTTAAAAATGGTTGAGTTGAGTGTTTGACAAAACTTGGGCAGCGCATTAAAAAATTTCACACCGAAATAATTACTTCCGTGTCTAGTTTTTGAAAGTCTTGTGTACTCTGGTATTAATTCATTGTTGAACCTTGTGTTATATTTGTGAATCTCTTTCGGAGTTCTGTAATCATCGTAATTATTTTTAACGTGGATCAGACATTCCAGTATATATATGCATGGCACAGTTAAAATTTTTAGGTCGATAAATGTCGTCTTGCAACACTGTCTGAAATATAAGTTTGCTATTATTCTCAAGCATCGTCTCTGAACAGCAAACACCTTCGATACATGACATGAATGTCCCCAAATCAGTATGCAGTATTGCAAGTTAGATTGGAAGTAAGCATAATAGGCTGTCATTAAAGTCGATTTTGTTACGTAGGTATTTAAACTACGTATCATATATGTTATTTTAGATAACTTCTTTGATAAAGAAGTGATGTGTGATTCCCAAGTTAAGCTTGCATCAATAATCACTCCAAGAAATTTCACGGGCTCTACTAAATCACTTCTATGTGGACGAGTACTGAGTAGAAGAGATTGAGTTTTCGCTATGTTGATTGACAAACTGTTGGCATTAAACCAGTTTTGAATGTTGTCAAAATGCTGCTGAGAATCGAGCAATACATGATCAAAGTTACTATTGGAGGATATTGATGTCGTGTCATCCGCAAATAATATATACTGATTGATGCTACAGTTTGGCAGATCATTGATGTAGATCAAAAAAAGAATCGGTCCCAAGACACTTCCTTGGGGAACTCCGTGCTTAATATGCACATTGTTGGATAAACAATTTTGAAAACTAACATACTGTCTTCTATCTGATAAATAAGACGCAATTAAGGACAGGCTATTATTACTAAAACCATACAGCGACAACTTTTGAATCAAAATGTGATGTTGGACACAATCAAATGCTTTTGTAAGATCATAGAAGTTAGCGAGGGCAAACATGTTATCTTCCAGACATTTGTTGATGAAACTGATAAAATTGTTTATTGCTGCTTTCGTTGATCTGTTGGTACGGTATCCAAACTGGTTGTTACAGAATAAATTGTTACCTTCGAAGTATTCACATATCTGATTCTTCAGAAGAATTTCGAAAATTTTTGCTATAATTGGTATTATAGAGATGGGTCTGAAATTACATGGATCATTCTCACAGCCTTTCTTGAAGAGTGGCACAATCTTTGCAAGTTTTAATAAGGCAGGAAAGACATTATTTTCTATACACATGTTTATCAATTTTGTTATAGGATATACTAACAAGTTATTTAAGGTCTTCATAATTTTAACATCGATGTCATATGGATCTTTACTTTTAGAATTCTTTAAGCTTTTGATTGCGTCTCGAACATCATTGAATGAAACAGTTCGAAAGTTGAAATGTAGTGTATCACTAGTCTGTATAAAATCTTTGAAGTTCGACTGGGTGGCTGGAATTTCAGCGATAATGGTATCAGCAATGCTGACGAAGAAAGAGTTTAAATCATTCGCGCTGAGAGTAGACGAATGTGCTTTTGATGATTGCACACCATTGGATTTAATCACGTTCCACATAGCTGCTTGTTTATCTGACGCTCTACGTATATATTTATCATGAGCATTTTTTTTCCTAATTCTGATTTCTGATCGGTACTTTGATTTGAAGACATTAATCTCCTTCTTTGATACTACTTGGGGATTATATTTATTAATTTGTGTTATTAGTTCCAAAGTCTCTCTCATATGAGCCAATTCGTGATCAAACCAGTTGATTTTGTTGCGACAACCCTCTGATACTAACCTAGATTTGATTGGTAAGCACTCAGCGATATTATTTGTTAAGATGTTCATGAATCGTTCGAGTTTAGTGGTCAGTGGTAAACTAATATCAGACAAAAAGATCCAGTCGACTGTTTCAATTTTACTGTATAACTTGAAAAGACCTTCATCAGTGACAGGCCTGTAGTTTATTCTCTTCCTAACAGGTTTTAGAGTTTTCAAATTAAAATGAAATGCAATACCTAAATGGTCAGAAAAACATGTATCAAAGGCCTCTACAACTATGCTTGACATGTTTATATTGGTGAAAATATTATCTAGACAAGCATTCTGCCTAGTATTCACATTCACAGTCTGATACAGTCCAAAAGAAACACAAATATCACACATCACATTGGCATGCTTGTCGTGAGTGTTAAATTTAAAATTAAAATCACCAGATATGATTATATTTTGCTTATAGTCTAAAGTACTAAGTAGTATTTGAAGCTTATTATAGAATATATTGAAGTCTCCATTTGGTGATCTATATATGGTTAGAATTTGTGTGCCATCCAAACAGGTGACACCAGCAACCTCAAAGTGTAACTCCTCAGAAATGTTTAAAACTTTGTCACACAAAGGCTTAGCACTAAACTTATTATTGACATAAATACAAACACCACCGTGGATTTTGCTTGACCTACATCGAAAGCATTTTAAAACGGTGGTAAGTCTTTGTTTCACTGAATATGTAGAACTTAAAACCAGCTTTGGTAAAGTGAGAGAAACAAAGACGCAAGCGTGATTCGAAAAACAAGTTCAAAACGTGGAACAAACTCAAAAGATGGAATTTACGATTTGAAATCGAAGAACTGTAATTGTGATTTCAATTTGTATCACCGAATTTTTGACTATCTTAAGCTGCGATATATAGGGTATCTAGAAATCCAACAAAAGCAAGTCATTTCAGTGACTTGTCATTCTTCTACCGGCATGTTAACGGACCTTGCTCCTCTGAGAGCTTTCTTCCATGATATTCCACCACGTGTTAGGTCTGCCATTCCGCTGCGCATTTTTGTTCTGTTGAACTTCATACATCGAGAACTGGCCGGTACGGTAGTTCCTTTGTACCTAGAATATCGAGATTATGGTTCTACTAACCTTAGATACAAAAAATTTTCTCTCCACGGCTATGCAATGGTAGAAAGGTGCAAATATGCCCTTCAGCTACAGTGAGATTCGACAGAAAATGTGGATAGAAACGGAATTTTCAGTGTGGTAAAGCCAGGGAAACATCTTACGCTTTGGCAATGGAGCACTTATGGAGCTACGCGCACAATGTTGCCATAGTTATGTATATGATACATTATTTGAGGCTGCAAGCAATTTTAATAATAATAATTTTATTGTTATATGAGTTTTATTATCCACATTCCAAATAAAGACATGCACCTGGGATAAAAAGGTTAATTGCTCAATAATCGTGTGGTCATGATAAATTTCGTTTTAAAGCTATACCTACTTTAGCTACATTAGGTATGTAGTGTAGAAAATAACGTTACCTTAACCACATTTAAAATTAACGGTTATCTTTTAATAGCAACAGACTGATCTAATAGGGCTTTATTTACACCTCTCCTGTTTTGCAGATTTCATAAAATCATCTTTAATTTGTAATGAAAATTATATCATAAATTAAGCGTGGCAGCATTGCGCACACTGACTTGTCAATTTTTCCGCTGCTTGCGGATCGGGATGGGCAACAAAAAACCAAAGTTTCAACTGTGCGCCCGTAGAATTCTTGAATTAGTATGAAATGATTACAACGTAGAGGTATAAATAAAGAAAAAAACAATATTTCGAAGCTAAAAAATTACTGGAAAGTCGATCATTATACTATAAGCAGATGACAGAAGACTGATGTTTTGTTTTACACTGACAGTGAACGATTTGTGTCCAGCTCTATTAGTGTATGTTCTTGACGTGCTTGACAGTCTGTCTTGACAGTAAACTTAATTTGTGTGCTGTTGTTTACTTTTAAATAATTTATGAGAACGCCTTTATTTTTACACGTTCTCATTTTCTGTCAGTTGAAAGTAAAAGATGTCTTTGGCGGACAGACATGAAAGAATCATGGAGAGATGTGTTTACTCTTTGAAAACCTGGAAGCAAGTTGTATTACAAAATTACGAAAACGAGCAGGAAGCTAATGCTGAATTGGAAAAAATGAAAAATATTGTGAAGGACCATTGTGCTATCAACGATAATTACAAGAGGTCTCAAGAAGCTTTGAGTATGGTACAAGAAAAAATTGACTCTTCAGATTACATGACAATAGATGTGAATAAACTTTATGAAGACTGCTTAAACAATTTGCCAGAATCTTCAAACCGAGATTTTCAAGATAACGAAATTTGGGAAAAGGTAATTGGAGGCGTTACTGATGTTGTCGAAGTACGTACAAAGAGCAAAAAACTAGATCCAACCCAGTATGAATCACTTGGAGACTCTTTACTTTGCTCTAATGTGTTCACACCTCCAGTAGATCCAATGACAAAAAAAGTCATTCGAAATCCATACAGGAATAAGAGATGCAACCATGTCTACGAGTATAATAGCATTGTGGATTATATAAAGCAACAGCGAAACAGGGCCAAATGCCCATATATTGGTTGTACTAACCACAGTTTCAGAGTTACTGATTTGGTAGCAGACCAAGTGATGGCAAGTCAAATCACACAACATTTAGCAACTCAGGGCGAGTCTTCTGAAGATGAAGAAGTAATTTAATGTTTTTTACTGCTGCTGAAATAGTTACTTTTTGATTGTTAATACCAAGAACTGATTAAAATTACTTATTTTTCCAATTAAGTAATATTATTTAATCTCGTCAATATCTGGTATACTCTCCATATATGGTACTACTACAACTAGTTCTACTAGCTGCGCAATAGGCAAGAATTTTTTGGTCACATCATGGAGAAATGAAAAGGAGTTGGTAGATAATAATTTTTTATTTTTTGAGGAAAAAATGGAGCCAAGTAAAAATTTTTAAGTAGTAACTCATACCCCATTTTCATTGTACAAAAATAGATAAATATCAGTATCAAAAACATGTAGTATATCAGTAATATTCATAACATAATTAATATACTTAATACTAGTATATAAATAATACAAATAACTAGTATAGTTTATATAATAAGTACATAAATATAGCAAAATACAAAAGTTTTAATTCATCATTTAAAATATTTAATCAATCAATAATCAGTAAAGTGAAAAATAAATTAAAACTTTTGCTTACAAAAATCAATCCATATAAAATAGCTATACCTAAAATATAAATACATAAATAATTAAACATATAAGATAGAAACATTCTGAAAATGACAAGATGTATAGAAGTATTTTTTTGTAACAAGTTGTTAAAATATCACAATCATTTGTTGGTAAAAAACTAACAGGTACTTGGTTAAAAATAGTGACTATTAATCTTAAAAGGCAGGTTAAAAGAATATCATAAAGTAGTTACAAGTAAATATAGAATAAGTTTGAACATACATATGTTTTATAACAAATTATAAAAAATACAAATATCAACACCAATGTCAACAAACAGTTATGTCTAGTGAGCTAAACATGGCAAACTAAAAAACTTTTAACAATCAAGAATTCGAAAAATTGATGGTATCTTACCGATACTACATTTGTTACAAAATACATGACTTATTTTGCTGTCAACATTTTATCGAAATCATTAAAATAGACACTATGACAGTTTTCTGATATTCTCCAAATCTGCCTTCAGATTGCTGCCTTAGACTTTTTTGAATTTTATGTAGGCAGACATAACAGATATAGTTCCATCTTTATGCCTTACATTTATTTTCAAAAAAAATCTAGTTGATTCTGTGTCCAATGAGATTGTTGTTTGCTTGTTAATCAATTATCAAATATGTATATATAAAACGAGTATCACAACAGAAAAAACAACATATAAGCGTTGACAAATATTTAAAAATACCATTACAATTGAAGTACAGAACTAGCTTGAAAACTCGACAGAAATATGAATAAATAATAATCTATCACTCAACATAGATAAGTTCAAAGACATACCATATTATTTTGACAAAAATATGGAACACACAAAAATTGATTTACCTAATAATATAATAATTATCAGTAGCTTGAATTAGATGGAGACCTTTCAGCACCTGGGGCAGCAGCAAAAGGAGTAGTCCTCTTGTTCATTTCTGGAAAAAAATAAATTATTTATTGATTCAACTTGAAAATGTACTCTTACATTGGCAAGATATCCATACAAATTGTACACTACCAAACAGATAAAAAAAATGTGATCAGTATGTTTTTTCCTAAAATGAATGCCGAAATCAGAAAAGCATTAGCTGAGTACCCAAAATGACATTTTACTTCCAACATGCCACTGGCATAGAAATATTACAATTGCTAAAAATTTCGGAAAAATATACGAGCCCCTTCCCACTTCAGTTGGCCCAACTATTGAAATCTTAGTTTTTTTCTTATCAAACACAAATAATAAAAATGTAGCAGGGTGTTATAGGTTTAAATTATTAACAATGAATATTTTGATAATATATAGCAGAAAACACCAACTTTATCACTCCCTAATCAAATTTGGAGTATAAAAATAACACATGTTGCAATTGTAGCATATCAACCTATTTTCATTTCAATGCAAAATAAGTCTATAACGCCTAGGTGGCTGTGAAAAATAAAAGATATGACAATTGTTTTTATTAATGACGGCTGTCAGAATACGTTTAAAATAGTTTTGCGTAGTCAAGGTTTTCAAAATGGGTAGAGGAAGGTTATTAGTGAGAAAATTCGGTTACTGATAATTACATTTTTTAATTCTGGGAAATCAAACTCAGAAATTGCAACTTTGTTAGACTTATCACGGTACAGTGTGAGAAATATTGTTAGAAGATATAACGTAACTGGTTCAGTTAATATTAAGCCACGATATGTGGAAAAAAGTAATATCACAAATGCCGACCGAAGAGCATTAAGAAGAATAATCGTGAAAAACAGGCGTGCCAATTATTTACAATTAAGTGCTCTGTGTAGTGACGCTGTTGGAAGGAGAATTTCGAGGTCCACAACTCATAGAGAAGCCCACTTCTTATAAAAAAAAGTGAAGTAAAAACCCTAAAGTTGCACAACTTGTTTATAGGCCAAAGAAAAGCCACTATTAACTCCACTGCAAAAGAAAAATCGGCTTAGATGGGCTAAAGAACATAGACAATGGACACCTCAACAATGGTGTGCAATACAATGGAGTGATGAGGCCCGATTCGAAGTTTGTGTTGGTGACAGTAGCAGTAGAGTTATTCGCAAAAAAATTATGCATTCCATGTTGTCTGTCTGAAGAGAAAAATGAAATTTCCAGCATTCATTATGGCCTGGGGCAGTATGTCATCAAAAGGAGTAGGAAAACTTCATTTTATTGATGGAAATGTGGATACAATCAAATATTTGGCAATTTTAGAAGAATCGCTTTTACCAGTGTTGGAAGGATGTTTGACATTCGGCCAAGATTTTGTGTTTCAGCAAGATGGTGCAGCGTGCCATACCTCAAAAAAGGCTATAAAATGGATGGAAGAAAATAATGTACCACTTTTGAAATGGGTTTCCAGCAGTCCAGATCTGTCACCTATTGAAACCTTGTGGCACGAGATGAAAAAGGTTCTACGACAACATCCTGCTCGTTCAATCACCGAACTGAGACAAAAGCTTCAAGAAATATGGGATTGTTTTACACCAAATTTTTGCCAAAACTTGGTTAACACTATGCCCCAAAGAATTTCAGCCGTAATAAAAAATAAAGGTGATGTTACCAAATGGTAATCGTTCAATTGTTGGTTTGTTAACTTCGCGCATTTATTCGCACATTGTTTATTTGTTCAGATGTTCTATTAGTTATAGGTCTAAGGCCCGTATCGTCAGTCGTCCCTACAATTGTAGGGCGCCTTTATGGCCTCCTTGATTGTCATAGTTTTCTACTTCTCCGTGTCAGCGCTCTATTTTGAGGTTATGTCACAAACATCTATTTGCATCAAATTGTGCTTGCTTTTGAGTTATATCATGTTTTATTAGCCTGAAATTTCCTACAATTTAAAAAGAAAACATTTCTTTACAATAGGAGGGACAAGTGTAATCTAGAAATTTTTGAAGGAGAGAAAAGAGTATGACAATCAAGGAGGCCATAAACGCGCCCTACAATTGTAGGGACGGCTGACGATACGGGCCTAAGTGATTTCAAATATGTATTTTTTACGACTAGAGTGTATCTAAAATGTTTTTGAGAAAATAAATTGTTTTAGAAGTAAATAGTTTCGTCATTTTTAGTTTATAAAGGCATATTTTGGTACAAATCTTGAAGTGGGCCAACTGAAGTGGGAAGGGGCTCGTATATATATGTGCCTCGCCGTGCTGGGTTGTCACATTGCTGAGTAGCCGGTACTGCTGGTAGCGCGGTAGGCTAGATCGCAATGCTGTGAAATCTGTGGACACTCCACTAATTGCATGAGCCTGTTTGGATGACATGATCCATTCCTTTATTACACAAGTTCATAGCCAACTGTTTTCTAAGAGGAATATACTTGTGCCGACTGTAATCCTTAATGAATCGATGACAGAGCATTGCGTAGGAAGTGTAGGATAAACCTACTTGTCGCCATTTTATGTTAGACTCTTGACTGGCATGTGAGATCATTAAAAAAATAATTAAAACAAGGAAACTGTTTGTTTTTGACAAAAAACAATTTAGAAATTACTTTGCAACGAGTTATTAGAGTGTTTTGTTCTGGTACTTTCTCATAGATGGCGCTAGGCTCTTCAAACCCTTTTTCAGGTGGAATACGTTAATGCCTGAAGATATGCAAATAAATCAGTCATTAGGGAGGCGCCATGAAAGGATTGAAGGACCTAGCGCCATACAGTGGCAGAATCAGATACTCCTTTCAAAGTAGATTCCTAAACTTATTTTCACATTCTGCTACTGTCTCGTGCTCTTAGGTGGGGCTAGCATATGTTTTGGGGCGCCGGAATAGAGTATATGGTAGGCTAACTCGTGTTGGCTATTTTTGGCAAAATTCAACTCACCAGATATCGCCAGCAATATCTTCCTGCGAGCCCCAAATGCGCTGATGCCGATATCGATCAAATCTTGATCCGTCAATGTGGTGAACGTGCCCAAATCGATCTCGTGCGTCGTGAAGATGGCGATGTACCTAGAGACACAAACATTTGATCGTACAAGTAAAGCTATCGTTTCAGTTAGGCAGCAGCGGTGGCCGCAGTAGTAGATAGACTCTTCGGTCTCCTGATCAGTCGCCGTGCGCTGTGCAGGTTCGAGTCCCGTCCCAGGAGAAATTTTTCTCTTGGCTATGGATGTTGTGATTGTCTGTAGGTGGTAGACGGTCTCTGACTATCGAACGTGGAGGTACCACCCGGCGGATTTCGTAGGCGGAGCCAGAATGTGTGATGTTGCATGCACACGTGTTCCCTCGCCAGAGTCCGTGTGGCGTTCCCCCTTTCTCTTGTATCCCCCTATAGCCCCACGGTACCCAATGGGTGTTTAGGCCTTAGGCCTTCGTGGTAGTTGGAGTATAAAAAAAAGTACTGCCATTGATTTACGTATTCTATCTGAAGATATACATAGTGTACTGAAAGTTGTGAATTTACTTTTCAGAAGGAACTACGTTTAAAAAACAAAACTAATGTGCGGTTGAACGGCTGCGAAAGCATAAAAAAGAAATTGAAATTCATTTGATGAAGAATTTCAAGTACTGCCCTGTCATTTATTGTTTTGCTTGTAAATATACTAAGACACATAAGGGTTTTTACGGCTATTTTTTCGGTTTTTAGCACGGAACGGCTTAATTCCCTAAAATATCGCATCATCCTTGGAAACAAATAAATTGTTGATTAGTTACAAACCGTCAAAATTAGCTTTGTGAGCATTATAATAAAAACGTGTTTGAAAATGAATTTTTCTAAAGAAGAAATGGTGAATATGTTTCCAACTATCTCGCATTTATAAGCAACGGTACCCTAATATGCGACATCCACTACTAGAACGTTTTGAATCAAGTGGAGCAGTGGAATATAGTAAAAAATGTATAAATAATCGAAGTGTCACCAATGAGGCGAATCAGTTGGAGGTTCTATTAAAGTTGCAGGAAAATCCCCATTCAAGTGCACGGCAAATTGGAGCAGAAACTGATATATGCAGATCTTCTGTCCAAAGGATTATTCACAAGCATGAGTACAATCCATATCACCTATGCTTGCATCAAGGTCTTCCTCCTCAGGATTTCGCAGCTCGAATGGAGTTTAGTAGAATAATGCTAAATAAAGTGGGTGAAGACACTACTTTCCTGGATAAGGTTCTTTTTAGCGATGAGGCAAGTTTTAATAGCATAGCTATTGTCAACAGGCATAACATGCACTATTATGCGACGGAAAACTCTTACTGGCAAATAGATTTTCAAAAGAAATGGAGCTTGAATGTTTGGGGAGGAGTTATTGGCAGACAAGTTATCGGGCCTTTCTTTTTCGACAACAAATTAACAGGTACAGAATACTTGAATTTTTTTATCGAGCATTTGCCTTTGCTTTTGGAGGATGTCAACCTGCAAACTCGGATGCATATGTACTTTCAACATGACGGCGCAACTGCGCATTATCATAATCGTGTGCGTAACTATTTGGACACCTGGAGTAACAATCGTTGGATCGGTCGTGATGGGCCTATATCTTGGCCTCCTATATCACCAGATATGACACCGATGGACTTATTTCTATGGGGCTACGTTAAGCAAGAAAGAGGTTTATAGATATCCACCATCTACCCCGGAAAATATGGAGGAAAGGATTAAGGATGCTTTTCTGAACATAAGGGAAAACACATGCTGAGGGATGTGCAACGGCCATTTATCCAAAGACTGGGGTTGTGTATTCAAAAGGGTGGAGATATTTTCGTGCAGTTTTGTAGATTGGGTCTTGAGTAGTGATAGTTGTTTGTTTATTATGTTGTTGTAGTAGTTTTTCTCTATTATGCTTGAAGCTGATTTATACTGTTCTGATTGTTATTAGTTTTTACGTCAAATCAATACTCTTAGTGGTAATATGGAACTAGCCCACTGTTTGTCTTTTGTTTCCATGGATGATGTGAGTTTTTTCCTTAATTTTGGTGTATTGTTCTATTAAAAGCTTAATAATTCAAAATCTAGTGATTTTATCTAAATCAAACCTTATACAAAAAAAGCTTATAAAAAATTGAATGCAAACTTGCACAAATATAGAGGGTGATGCATTTGAAATTTTTGAGAAAAAGTACAATTTGCGTTTTTAACCACCCTGTATGAGCAAGAATGAAAATTCGAAAAAGTAACAAATAAGATAAAAGCTGAGGTGTGTAATTTTTTTTTTGATACAAAATTCAGCACTCCAAATTTCAAAATGGCGGATTGAGGGGTTGCAGAAGTGGACGGTTTTTCTGGACAAAGCACCTCACATCCCAGTACCTAATTACCAAAGCCCCATAGTATGTCATATCAATCTTCTTCTTTTGAATTGATTTATCCAAATATGCAATAAAAGTTGAGGCATTCCATTTAAAAAATCATAACTTTGATATGTAGGTCAAAATTGGGACACCCTGTATAATTGCCAATATTTTAAAAATGTGCCCTCAAATGTCATGTATAACATGTCGTAAATAGATTTTCCCAAAACGTATTTGTTTATGAGTAATATTCCGTCAACACATCTTCCCGCCATAGACAAAGTATTACAGGAGGTTAATAGTGATGAAGACTTACCTACTTTCAAAAGGATCACATTCTATAGTTTACTCAAAGAACTTCATTCAGAGTATAGAAAACGGGGCAGAAATGATATTTTGATGGACAGCCCAGAGATTATTTTATGGAGAAGAAATTATTTAAAGTCAATAAAGAAATACGCGACCAGTACAGAAAGATTTATTACTTGGATGGAACCCGGATGAATGCAGGATATACAAAACCTAAAGTATGGGCTGACCCTACAATTAAATCAGCAAGACAAGCCTTTTTACATGGAGGACTAACCACTGGCCTGAAGAATCCGTGACTGTATCTGAGAACCCACGCCCAAAACAGCTTCACTAAACTTAGCTATATCTGGTAGATTTGGAACCAACACCTGGTTAGATACTCTGCTTGCATTATTATTAGCTTTCTTGAATATTATATGAAATAATTATTTCCAGGTAAAGGAAAACGATTTGTTATCAGTCACATTGGCAGTGAAGATGGCTTTGTGCCCCTGCCCTGTGGGCATTTGGGTCAATGAAAACGACCGATTACCATGAAGAAATGGACGGGAGTTCATTTGAACGATGGTTTGAAGAAACGCCCCTAAAACTTGACGTCAATGCCGTCATTGAAGAAAAAATTCCCATAATGTCCACAAGAAAGGCAGAAGTTCAACAACGGCACCTATCAAAAGACATTAGTTTCAATGAAAATATGGTCAAAGCAGAACTTATCCATCTAGTCAGGCAGCACAAATATAAATACGTATAATCTTAATGTTATTGACGAAATGGCTAAAAACCAAAATAAGGCACTGCGAATTAAATCCCATTGAAATAATTTGGGCAAATATAAAAAACCATGTGGCTTCAAACAACAGAAAATTCAAATTTTCTGACGTGAAAAATTTGTTTATTGAAGCTGTCAGCAGGCAAACCATTGGAAATATTGCATCCGTCACGTTTAAGAGAATCGAAAGAAAGATGTGGGATTTGATCGATATTCAAATTGAACCTGTATATTTAATATTAACCATTCGGACGATGATTCAAGTACCTCCAGCGAATACAGAATTGTGAAAAGTATGTGCACTTCTTTCTATAAAAATAATCATTTATTTTGTCAGATTATTCCAAGACCATTGAGGAAAATACGTACCTGTACAATCTCGCTTTTGGGCATGTTGTGTTTTGACTGGGCGTAAATGGACTACGAATGGGGTTAGTTAGTCTAGTGCTCTATTTGAGACATTAGCAGATATAACTCAGATCCATTTTCGGATGCCTATCTTCAGGTAGAATGCGTTAATCAATTGTACTACGAAATATCGGTAAAAAAGTATCGCTGCCGGAAATGCTCAATGCAGTACCTTGTGAGACCCAGCGCGGTCAGTAACGAGGTCAGGTCGCGCCAGTCAGAGGTTGATAAGTTGCTCAGCACGTGGTGGTTGGGAGTGTGGTCCAATGCGTTGCTCATGTTCATTGCCGCTGATGTAGAGGGAGAAGCGTAGCTGTCACTCTGTCTCGAACCGTTGCCGCTTGACATCTTCCATACGTCGTCATCCTGAGAAAAGCATACCATAAAATGTTGACAAAACCCGCTATGTGGCAACCTTCCGGATGATTTTTTCTTAGAGATGGTTAAGGATGGAACCACATACAGTATATTCAGATAAGAGATAGACCGGACATAAACAAGACCACGTGATCATCGAACGCTGTAACATTCGACAGGGACGTATTAAGAGTCACGCAGTACATATTTTAGATAGTAGATGCTGCTTTGCGTAACTTTGTAGTAAATTAGCACAATTCGATGTGTGATGGATATAGGATCATGTGGGGGTGGGGTAAGAAATATATAATGATGTAAATATACATAAGGGTTTCAAAATTTTCGCTTCGATTTCCAGCTTCGGATGCCGCCTGATGTTTGGTGAAATACAGTCGAATATAATCTCAAAATGGCGTTTAAATTAGCCTAAATTAAAAATAATCGTATATCTCTTAAAATTGCTTTTAGAATATTGATTAGTATATTTTTTGATTTCTAGGTAAATATGTAACCAAATTAAAACGTTCAAAACGTAAAAAAATGTGCATGGTTGAACATTGTCAGAAAGTAGATTCTTGAATAGGTTTTGCCAAAATGGGTTCAAAAATGTCAATAATTAATTAAAAAATACAGTAGCTTTATAATTACTTATAACTTACCGAATTTGATGAACGACATCTTTTATTGGAAAGATGAGCTTGATGAGCTTTCATCATCGCTACTGCCTGAAGCACCAACATCAATAATGAATGGCTCGACTTGTTCCTCTAAAATATTCTCCAGTTCCCACATTCTCTTTTCAACTTTGTCTTTCACGTGCTTCTTTGAAAAGTCCTTTGAGGTCACAAAATTTAAAAGTTGTATTGTGCTTAGCTATATAATTTTTAACCTCTGCCCATATGAGCTCAATGGGATTGAGCTCGCAATGGTATGGAGGTAAACGGAGCACAGTTTTATTTTGACTTGCTGCCATTTCGTCAATGGCGTATTTTTGATATTCCGCCTTGTGATCCTTGACAATTCTTAATAATTGTACTTTCAGCATTGCTTCTTCAAAGTTGATATTTTTCGAGCGGAGCCAATTTTGAACATCAACTTTCCTTGAAGCCGTTGTTGGGACCTTCTCCATTCTTCGAGAATGATAAGGCGCATTATCCAACACAATGACTGCGTTTTCCTTTAAGTTCGGTAAAATTTTTGAAAACCACTGTTCAAACGATTCGCCATTCATTTCCTCGTGGTAATCTCCAGTTTTCTTAGACTAAAAGCACCACAGACCGTCAACAACAAATCCATCCTCACTGCCAATATGGCAGATAATGAGCCTTTTCCCTTTACCTGGAAATCGAAGTACTAACTGGTGTAGATTTATTTCAATAAGCGAACCTTTTTCAAATGTTTTCATCACATTCAGCGAAAAAACATTGAGACATATTGAAAGAAAGAATATTGAACGTCGTATGAGTACTCAGCGCTTCACAATTTAATTTAAAGTTATAAACCTTTAAAAAATGAATGATCAGGAACCTGAAATACGCGCAAATATTAATATTAACAAATTATAACTTTATAAAGCTTAAAGTATGAATTAAAATGATTAGAAATATTAGGAACGGTACACAATATAAAACTTAGTAACTTTTTTTAAGTTTATAATATTCGACATATTTTAAGATTATTTTAAAAAATTATTGAAATATCGAAAACACATAAAAACATGGCTTAAAAAAGTTCTAACAAATGCAAATGACAATAAAACATCCACGCATTTTATCGAAAGTTATAAAAGTTTTGTTACTTGTAATATGTTTTATCTGCCCCCTGGAATTAATGTTTAGAACCTTGTTCCCAACGTTTGAAAAACATCCGATTGTTGTCTATTACTCGTATTTACCTGCTGGATTTTTTAATCCGGTGGACAGTCCATCTAGAAAGGCCCTCCTGGATGAAGTTACAGAATCATCAACCCATACTTTACTTGTAGTGTGTCCTGCGTTTACCCACGTTTCATCAAGGTAATAAATCTTTCTGTTTTGATTTCTATATTTCCCAATTTTTGTTAAATAATCCCTCCTCCATAGCACAATTTCTTCTCTATCCAGTAGTAAACTATTACGACCCCGTTTTTTCCATTTGAAATTTAAATGCTTCAGTAACGCATGGAAAGTTGATCGTTTGAAATTTGGCAACGTTGTATCTCCATTTACCTCCTGCAGTACTTTATCTATAGTAGGTATTTCATTCCTAAAGAAGAATTCATGCACTTTCCTCCTAATCGCATGCTTATCAGCTTCATCCAATGATTTAACAATACTTTTGCGATGTTTACTGGTCATTGGCTCAGAAAAGGTGTGATTTTTTTTGTATTGTCTTAACACATTAAACACTGATGCGCGACACACCCCAACTTTGTGAGAAACCTTCACAACAATTTCTTTGATGGTTGATGCCTCGTTCTCCTCGCGCTCGATCTTATATATATTCAAAATGACCTCTTTCATTTCTGCACTCAGGTGTCTTTTTTTAGAGCGTTTCCTAGGTGGACTATAGGAGTTTACAACTTCATCGGCAGTATCTGTACTACTGGGCATTTTGCGCAAGCAGTTGATAACAATAACAATCAATAACAAGGTATAACAATAACAACAACAAACTCAACAACTTAATAAGATAACAAACGAAAACGTTCAAAGAAATATCAAATTGCAATGATGCACACGACATACGTAACACGTCTGAACCTGAATGTGACTCTGCCTTGATACGACTGCTCTGCCGCTCGGCATAGGCATTTAATTGCGAATTGACCAATGAGGGCTCCTGTTTTACGTCGAGACGGCGGCGTTAGCGTGAAAATCACCCGAACCTTTTGTTTACATCCGGTCTATCTCTTATCTGAATATACTGTACGTGCGTAAACCTTTCACTGATTTGATTGGTTAGTAAAAGTCAAGTTGCCTCTTGCTGGGGATCGCCCCCCTCCCAAAACATCCTGCGGGAGTCCACCCATGCATGGGTATTTCAAACATAAATCGTGTTATCTTCCACTTTAATTCAGACTCGCCCTTAATAGTAGTATTATTTTATTCTGCCAAAATACACACACAAGGTTCAAGAAAGAAAAAAACAAAAATATGTCATCCAAAGATAAATTAATAAAATATGCAATAATGAATTTAAATTTGAAACTGGGTTGTAACATATTAAAATAATTGACAAAATTAAAAATTATGTTAAAAACGATATTCAGAAAGATCCATTTTAACGATATTAACATCCACAATTTAAAATAAAAAGCCCTTTAGGAGAATTTTAGACATAAGACGTCCAGAATATCAACTTATTGTCACTGAGAGCTTGTTTACAAGAAATATGAGTTTTCAAAATAGAAAAATACAGACCTTACTGTTACGCCTATCGGTAACAGATATAGGGCTGGTATAACTGACTCCATATCCACACCAGGCGTTGGTAGGTACCCTGTATGAATTGGGAGATGGTTTGGCCTGCATTGCTCTTAGACCTGCAATACGCTTGATTTCATAATCAGAAGCACCAAAAGCTACTTTATCCTGTCGTTTATCCACCGTTGGGCCGTGGTATCCAGCAGAGAAGACGGGCAATGCGGATTCCCACTCTTAAAATGCATAAAAACAAATTATCAATAAACTTTCAAATATTTACCTGCATAAACGCACGTCTACTTTGTATAATAAAAATGCATGGTCTTCGTGGTTAAAGTCAAACTTATGAGCTATTTTCAAACAAAGGAAAACACAAACAAAATCGTACAAATCAAAACACGAGAGAATCTGTGCGAAGAGAAAAGGCTGTATATATTCAGCATTTACACGAAACTAACGATTCGTCTTCTTTATACAGGGTAGCCAATATATAACTGACCTATTTGTTGCGCGCCATTTTTGATACACGCATTTCAGTAAGGGGCGCCGTAGAAGTTGTTTAAAGCACATGTGTCCAATTCATCATCTAGCGCGTTGATTCCCAAAGTGGTCTATATCGACCCTAGGGGTCTATGACAACCTGCAAGGGGTCTACGTCAGCGGAAAAAAATTTGGGGGTCCATGAAATGAATATGGGGGTCCACGATAGCAGATCTCAACACATACACTGATAGTACCTATTTACTTACATCATACTATCTTATAATATCAAAACATATACATTATTTATAAAAGTACCTATGAAGTAAAAAATTTATTGTATATGTTTATAAAATTGTGTAAGTTGTAGGATGTTGGTATTCGCTTTGTGGTCGCAATACATTTTGAACTTCTAAAAACCTGAGAGTCGCAGTCTCAGAGCTTCGCTATCTTGCACTGACTTGTTCAATTCGTCACTCTATAAATACGAATGTGGGACAAATACGTTTATTCTTTTCCTGAATCTTGAAAAGGAAAGTGCTAAGAAAATATCTTAAAAAATATAAACAGATAGTATATCACACAAATTATAGTGAGTCAGTGTTATTTTGTTTGAGAGTGCTGGAGAAAAGTAAGTATACGTAGATACATTATTTTTTATTAAATTTTAGTTTTGTACTCGTAGTTAGCAAAGATAGATAAATTACGCCAATCATGACTTTAGTTATTAGTAGTTAAATATTCAATCATGCAAAATTACTCGAGTACTCCTCAATAGTTTCTTTTTGAAAGTTTTAGCAATCGGTAATATAATTACAGTGCAATTTCCTTAATTCGAGGTAATTGTTGCAAGAAGATGTTCGAATTATGGAATGTTTTCGGAAAAATCAAAAAATATTTTTAATATACAGCTGCTGGATTTTCTGTCTTATTTAAATAATTTAATTTTGCCCACAGATGACTGATGCCATGTCCGAATCTAAAAAGAAATGTAGACAGTACAGTGTTGATTATTTGAAGTTTGGCTTCATTCCATCATTGCCGGACAAACAATCGCCTATGTGCCTTTTATGCAACAAAGTTTTGGGCAATGACGCTATGAAACCATCTAAACTGCAAGATCATCTGAGAAGATGCCACCCTGATAAAACAGAGAAAGATTTGAAATACTTTCAAACACTCAAAGATAAATTTCAGAAGAGACCTACACTGGACAGAATGTTCGCTTCGACGTCACAAAGAAATGATGATGGTTTGCGGGCGTCTCACAATATCTCGTTACTTATAGCAAAATCCGGAAAACCGCATACTATCGGAGAGAAGTTAATTTTGCCAGCCGCTGAAGAGGTTTTAAAAACTGTTTTACACAAACCTGCATCTGATATCATTAAAAGAATTCCCTTAAACTACAATACTGTTGAAAGACGTATTGACGAAATGAGTTCTGATACTGAAAGCTTCTTATGTAATTATTTGCAAACGACCCATTTCTCTATACAACTGGACGAGTCAACTTTACCTGATAATGCAGCAAGAACTTTGATAACCGACATTAAAGGTGAATCAATATTTCGTGTTTTGAAGGATTACTTCATTGAAAAAGCAATTCCTTTATCAAATATAATATCAGTAGCTACAGATGGATCACCTGCCATGGTTGGACGTTATCGTGGATTTATAAGCTATTTAAAACAAAATGTGTCAGGGGTGTTAGCAATACATTGCGTCATCCATCGAGAACATTTAGTTGCTAAAAGTTTGAGTGTTAGATTGCATGAATTACCTACTTCATTTAGTCATTGATGCAGTAAACCGAATCCGAAGCAACGCGGTGAATACGCGGTTATTTGCGCAGTTGTGTGAAGAAAATGACGAACACTTTCATCAATTACTCCTTCACACTGAAGTACGCTGGCTGTCGAAAGGCTTATGTTTGACAAGATTTTTTGCACTTTTTGAGACTATTTTAGAATTTCTGGATACTAAAGATAAAATTTTAAAAGAAAATTTAATGAAGAGGAAAACAGACCTCTTTAACAGATTTGTTTACAAAATTTAATATGGTTAATTTGCAATTACAAGGCGACAGTTTAAATTTGATTAAAACAAAGTCCATCTTATCAGAGTTAAACTAATGAAGTAAAATATTGGACGGGGCGAATTTTCTCAGTTCCCCAATTTGTCACAGACAAGCTGCCAGGAAGACGACGTTTCAACTTACGTTCAACATTTAAATGCCCTATATTCAGATTTTGAATCTAGGTTTGAGGATATTTTGACTATGGTAATACCACCGTGGATAATTAATCCATATGGTGACATAGAAGAAACGAATGTCATAATACAAGAGGAACTGACTGAACTAAGTACAAGCGAAGAACTCAAGGTTCAGTTTAAAAACGGATATCAGCAATTCTGGCTGCAAAACAACATACCCGTTACTTATCCCGTATTATGGAATATAGCGAGGAAATTTTTAATTTCCTTTCCATCGTCATACCTAGTGGAAAGGGGGTTCAGCGCTGTTACCAATCTCCTAACGAAAAAAAGAAACAGACTGGACATCATTAGCAGAGGAGATTTAAGATTAACCCTTACAAAATTGACGCCAAATGTTGATAATTTATTATTAAAGCATTAGGTTCATCCTTCTCACTAAAAATATTGACTTATTGCTTATGTTATTTTACTTATATATTTATGTTATGTTTATTGGTGTCTGACCAATAAATGCCCGCATTGGGAATAAGTGCCCGCATTGATTTTTTTAAAGAAAATATTTTGTTTTAATTATTCTGAAAATTCAAGGATAGGTACACACTAAAATTCGTTAATTTTTGCCTATTTTTAGATAACTTAAACGTATAAGAAGTGGAATTTAATCAAACTAACAGTGAAATTATTGTACATACGTTTATGTTATAATTAATAAACGAACTCGCTTATTGTACTATTTTAAGTAAAAAACTTTTTTTTTATTAGTTTTCACTTTTTTTTTATTTTATCCCTGTTATTTTTGTTTTCAATGCGGGCACTTATTCCCAATGCGGGCACTTATTGGTCAGACACCTGTTTATTTAATGTTACGTATATTTTACATAACAGATACAAAATTTTATTTTGAGTAGTTTTAATTTAAATTCAATTAATAAATGTATAAATTAACATGTGTTTTTACTTTAAGTTTTTAACACTAAACTTCACTACAGTTAGAAATTTACAGGAAATCAATATCAGGTAAGTAGGGGGTCTACCCAACACGGAAAAACATGGCAAGGGGTCTACGACACAAAAAAGTTTGGGGAACTCTGATCTAGCGCTACACAATCCCACAACGCGTTCGCATTGTGTAACATTCCTCAGGTGTTCCTGGGGAGACTCTTTATAATCAAGGGTAAGGTAACGGCTGAGACAATAATACCACGATTTAGTTGTGAGACACTGTATTCACTGAACCACTAACTATACAAACATATTGAAAATATGGGAATCTTAATTCCAATATATAGGATTAATGAAACATAAAAATATATAGCCGCCTTCTGGCGCGCGCGACCGCTGGCCGCTTCCTGTTGGAACTCGTTTGTCAGTCCCCCCCCCCCCTCTTCCACCTTCTTGTCCCATGGTCAACGTCGACCGCGCACTGTTGCCGCTACCACCTATTTTTCCGCAACTCCACCACTCACTTAAACCTAGCCTGTCACAATTGTTAAAACTTTTACTGAAATAAATAGGCAGCAGCAGTGGCCGCAGTAGTAGACTCTTCGGTCTCCTGATCAGTCGCCGTGCGCTGTGCGGGTTCGAGTCCCGTCCCAGGAGAAATTTTTCTCTTAGCTATGGATGTTGTGATTGTCCGTAGGTGGTAGATGGTCTCTGACTGTCGAACGCGGAGGTACCACCCGGTGGTTCTCGTAGGCGCAGCCAGAATGTGTGCATGTTGCAGGCACACGTGTTCCCTCGCCAGAGTCCGTGTGGCGTCCCCCCCCCTTTCCCATGTATCCCCCTATAGCCCCACGGTACCCAATGGGTGCTTAGGCCTTAGGCCTTCGTGGTAGTTGGAGTATAAAAAAAAGTCGATTGTTGCAACGATTTGGAAGCTACGACAAGATTTCAGTCGAAATAATGTGTGTGTCAACACCATTCTTCAGTTAGTGCGGAAATTTGAACAAACAGGTGAAGTTAAAGACTTGCCAAGGTCGGGCCGGGTTCGAACTGTTCGTGCTCCGAAAAATATCGAGAGAGTTCGTGAAAGTGTAGTGAGAGGTATACCAGACATTGTTCTCAAGAACTGGGTATTCGTCGCACGTCATCATGCACTATTTTAAAAAAAGACTTGCATTTGCGACCATACAAAATTCAGTTAACCCAAGAACTACAGCCTAGTGATCATGAAAGTCGCCTACAATACTGTCATGCTATATCGCAGCTTAATACCCAAAATAACGGTCTCATACCGACAACTGATAATGAGTGATGAAGCCCACTTCAATATGAGCCGATTTGTTACTAAGCAGAATTGTCGAATCTGGGCATTAGAGAACCCTCGTGTCATCCATCAACGACCACTGCATCCTCGTCGAGCCACAGTTTGATGCGGTGTTTGGTATGAAGGTGTCATTGGACCTTACTTCTTTGAAGACGCTGCAGGTAATTCTTTTACTGTCGCTGGGGAGTGCACAGCCAGGGAAACAATGAATCTTTTGCGAACAATATTTCTGGGGCATTTAATTTTTCGATTTGGTGATGCCAACTGTCAACTGGCCACCAAGGTCACCGGATTTAAGTGCCCCTGACTTTTTTATGGGGATTTTTGAAAAATAGGGTTTATACCAACAAACCAAATACTGTAAAGCAGCTGAAGAACAATATTACGGAAGCGATTGAAAATATTCCTCCCAAAACCTACCAAAAAGTGCTGGAAAATGTAATCAAGAGGGATTAGGTTTGCGTGATTTCTAGAGGCGGACATTAGTCTGACATTATTTTGCATACATAATTTCTAAGTTTCAATAAAAGATTAAGATGAAAAAAATTGAAATATTTTATTTCACAATATTCAAGATACAAACCAGTCAGTTACATATCGACCACTCTGTATAAAGGTCTCCAAAATTTGAACATCCAGAATAAGCAGTGTAACTATGTACATCCTAGCTTACGCAAACAACGGAAATATTATATAGATATTATCTGTTTTTCAAGACAATACTCAAGACTGTGCTAGTGATATAGAATTCTATAGTAACAACATACTTAATGAATAGCTCAAATTTGATCTGGTCCTAATCACTAAGGAAGATATACGTTTGCTGTTACTTAAAATAAAATCTAATGCCTGTGGACATGATGGTATTACGCCCAATATGGTAAAATTATGTTTTCCTGTGATTGGAAAATATTTAACGCATTTCCTCCATTCTTGATTGCAAGTTCACTATTTTTCCCTGTGCATGGAAGCAGGCAGTGATTGTTCCCTTGGAAAAAACTGGTATCTCTTTAGCTTATCCTGATCTGCGCCCAATTACTTTTCTTCCATTTTTGTCGAAAATATTAGAAAATATAGTGTACGATCAATTGAAAGAGTACTGCTCTAAAAACAACGTGATGAATATAAATATATGTGCTAAATACATGGATTTACATTGGTTCACCGCTGTAAAAATAATAGGCTTAAGTGGTAGAGTAGCTCTTCAGCTAAACTTCGCCTGCTACATTGTACTTTAATCAATAAAGACGTTTTATTGTTATTATTATTATAAGATTGTTTTGTTTTTGGAAATCTTGTTGTGTCAAGAAATTATCTGTAATTCTGCATATGCCAAATTGTTTTTCCAATATCATGTGTCATTGTAACAATTACTTAACTTGAAAACCACGCAACTTCACAAACAAAATGTTGAATGTTTTGAACACCATATTGAAAGACAATAGCAAAACAAATTTGTATGCCACTGCTAATACGGTCATTGTCATGTGAGCGAATTTCGCAAGACACAACAAACAGTATAAATCATTGTAGTACGATACACCATGCATCTTCAAATTTTGTACTAGTCTGCAGAAACGGGACAACACGAAATGAGAGCAAGAAATCTTGAAAACACTTACCATTATCGTCGTTTTCTGGTCGATTAGCATACCCTGGACTAGTGACAGAACCAGAGCTGTTGCTTGATATTGTAGAATCTTTGCTGTGATCCAACGACTTTGATGTTTGGTTCAGTGAGTGGAAACTGTCATGAAAAAAAATACCGAGATCACATTGCGAAATATAGTCAACTTTTCAGCGTACAATCATTTTCATGTCTGTATGGAAAAAATCTTACCCGCTACTGCCCATAGAATACTGTCCCGCCCCGGCACTCTGTGGCCTGGATGTAGTTCCGCCCACATGGTCGTACAGGAAATGCGGTTGGTGAACGCCAAAGCCGACGAACGTGTTGGTAGGAGGCGTAGGCGTGGTCACGTGATTAGGCGTGGCAGGAAGCGGCCATACTCCGCCCGGCGACAGCATCGGGCTCACAGAGGGCGGAGCTAGGCTGGCAGAAGCGGGAGTGTCTTGGAAGGGGGAGTTTGCAGTGGAGGTGGCCGTTGCCGGTAGGTGGTAACTGGCGGGGATGCCAGCGTGTACTGGTTGGTCCGTCAGGCCGAGGATTAGGTGGCGGGCGCGGTAGATATTGTCTGGAAAAATGAATTTGGGTGAATATATATACATGCCAACTACAAATCGACCACTGCAACGAATCCTTGCTTTTGAGTTACTATATGGTATCGATATAGTTTATCGGGTTCTCTTTGGTGGAAGAATATGGTATCTAAGTCATGCCACTATAGGCAACCTGGAAATCTTCTACGTTATATAGTAAGTATAATAGTGGCGCTTGCTTCCGCGAAAGCTACATCAAATTGAGTTACTTTAGTCTTCGATGCAAACAAATCACGGAAAGCCTAACTTACTATTAGACCTACTGTCTGACTTACGATGATTTTCTCGGCATAGTTTGAGGTTACGGTAATTAATAGCCAAAACGTTTCATGTATTAGCTGTTTGATAAGAGCAGTTTTCAAAGCTAACTAAAATGAATTCAAGAACCAAAATAATTCTGGCAGATGCAAAGAAGCTAAGTACAGTTGCTGAACCGTTAAATTCAGGCAAGTTTGGTTCATAAATAGTGATGAATTCTTTTAACATAACAAAAAGATTTAAACATAGCATCCTCTTCTGCACGTTATGCATTGGGATCTGTCGCATCAAAGTCTGCTTCTCTGATGCCTGTGAAATAACAAAGTTCTACAGAGAATTCAACTACTTCAGTCGTCGGTTTTGCTAAGATGACACTCACGTGTTTGCTTTTCATTCTTCCATCTCCAAGTCTGGACCTGATACAGACCTATATTACAGACCTATATCGTACTGATGAGGGCTAAAGAGCCCTGTCTGCGGTTGTTCGTGAATCCATTAGTTTTAAATAAAAGGTATAATCGGAAAATTGGAACAAATACGATAGTGGAGAAAAGTTGAAAATAAGTAAGTGCCTCGTGAAATGGAATATAAGTGGGACTATGATGATGATGATATCATAGTAATCATGATTATCACAGAATGAGACCGCAAAACACAAGCTTGCTTCTAGTAGATGCTAGAAAATTAAATGGCTGATTAGACCTATGTAATTCAAAACCAAACAGTCTTCCTAACATTCCTGAGGCTTTCTTGCTTTTCATTTTTCTCTAAAAGCCAAGGAAGATAAAAAAATACAAAGAGGGCATAATCTTAACAGTGCTGAAAATACAGAAGTTGAAAACGATGATAGTGGAGAACAAGAAGATGAATATAATTTGAGTGACTCAGATTAGCATTAAAGAGGTTTTTTTTTGACCATTTGTTTGAAAAATACTGTAATATTTCAATAAATATCCTACTAAGCCAAGTGTACTTTTTACTTTAATTGATCCAACGAAAAGTATAGTTAGTCAACAAAATTTATAAAACAAAATTGTCATTTTCATTCTAGATACAAGAATTACTGCAATGTGCAACATATTTTTGATGAGATCGTCATTTTTCTGACAACGAAATTCATCAGAAAATCTTCTAATGTCTGTATCTCAGTTCAACCAAAACTGAGTTACAACAGTCTTCCTTGCAGGGATCGAAATATTTGGCATATTGATTAAAATGGCAGACTATGGGTTTCACTAGAATCTTGAAGAACTACGCCCATGTGTCTAAATATACTAAGTGACATATAAATCCGAACACCCAGTTTAAATGGTTTTATTTTAATAAAAGTTGGTGAATGTATTTATCTTACTGTAAATAACAAGTGAAAAAATTTTCAGCCTTATCAGTTGGACATTCCGGTTTTTATACTGCTTTTTTTTAATTCACTAACGCTCTAAAAATGAATATTTCAGCCGCAGTAAAGAATCAACGTTGGCGGATTTTGGTTCTTGACATCCTTTACGATCGGTTACGATGCCTAGAGTACGGAGACCTGTACGATTTCGTCAACTTAGTGAGTTTGATAGGGGCCGTATAGTGGGACTTCGGGAAGCTGGACTTTCTTTTCGGACAATTGCAGTAAGAGTGCAAAGAAGTGTAGACACTGTGGTTAGGTGTTGTCAGGCATGGGTTCGAGAAGGCCGTACGCAAAGAGCAAGGGGCACTGGACGCCGCCGTAGAACAACAGACCGTGAAGATCGCCGCCTAAGATTATTGGCCTTAAGGGACCGTTTCTCCACTACCAGGTCCATTGCAAATGAATGGTTTGCAGAACACGGAAGACCTATTGGCATGCAAGTGTTTACCGACGAATGAGAAGCTTTGGCTTGTTTTCATACCGGCCACACTGGGTCCTCCCTTTAACTCGAGAACACAGACGTAATCACCTTGAGTGGTGCAGACAACGGTCACTCTGGGATCAGGAATGGAACAGTATTGTCTTTAGTGACAGAGTCTCGATTTTGTTTAGGCATGCACGATGGTCGTGCCAGGGTTAGAAGGCGACGTGGTGAAAGGAGGAATCCACAGTTTTTTGTTGAAAGACATGTTCATTACACTGTTGGAGTTATGGTTTGGGGTGCTATAGCTTATGGTTCCAGGTCACCTTTAATCTTCATCAGAGGTAACATGAACGCGCAGCGTTATATCCACAAAGTTCTAGAACCCCATCTTTTACCCTATCTTGACACCCTGTCAGATCCAACTTTCCAACAAGATAATGCCCGACCACATGTTGCAACAGTCACAATAGACTTCTTTCAACATAATGATGTCACATTGTTACCATGGCCACCAAGATCTCCCGACTTATCCCCAATTGAGCACGTGTGGGATATGATGGGTAGGAGATTGCTCAATTTGCAACGTCCTCCTCAGACTCTAGAAGCACTTCGAGAGGAGTTGGTGGTTGCCTGGAATGAGATACCACGGGAGGACATTGACCACCTGATCAGAAGCATGCCTAGACGCGTTGGAGAATGCGTAGCACATCAGGGTGCATCCACACATTATTAAAGGTCAAAGGGCTTTAAAGCAGTGCAATCATTTTGAAATTTTTATCATTTACTTATTATGCTTCATTAAGTACTTATACAAAATTTTATTAAAATAAAACCATTTAAACTGGGTGTTCGTATTTATATGTCACTTAGTATAGCTTTTGATTACTATGTCGGTACTTGCTCCCATTTAGACGAGAATACTAAGACAGGTCCGTTACATTTCATATGAATGGGCTGCCAGTGGAATTTCCTCCGTGAGCCCTTCGCCACGATGCCGCTGCTTCTCTCTGGGAAGGATTTCTTCAGTTCCGCTGATCTTAACCAGCTTGTGACTTTGACTCAGTACAATCCGATCTGTTTACATTATGCACATGCGCATAAAGATATCTGTGTATAAGAATGTTTCGGTCTACATGGCAAAATTAGTATTGTTACGTTGGCATTGGCAAATCTGTTTTTCAACCAGAATGTGTTCTAACTCACCTGCATTTTTTTCGATGCCCTTTATAACGCATGCCTTCGTATTTTGCTTCGCCTTCTGCCTTATGTTTATAGTCACATCACAGTTAGTCTGAATGTAAGCAATATGTTCTGGTCTGGTTCTTAAAGTGGTAGAGTCTTCCGGGAGATCAAAAATTATAATCAGAGGCAGGCTACCCATCAGTAGCTGACGTGCCTAAAATAAAAAGACATGCAAATCATATTTTTGTATTATTTTCCATGACCGTAAAACCTGTAACTCGGCTATTCCAGTGTAGGCCAAACTTCACAGGGTGAATCCTCGAGTGTTTCCGAAATAAAAAGTTTCGTTACAAATTCAATAGTCCTTTAGCCGATTACTGAGTCTAAATTTTTTAGTTGGTGGAAATGTGTGATTCTATGTCAGTGTCAGATTATTTTTAATAGCAAGCTTCATAAAGTTTGAATTATTAAGTAATGTTTTAGTATATTTTTGATTGTTAATTTGTTGTTTGTTCTTCATGGATTTTAAGTTATTTAACATTTGAGATTATTTTTGGTCAAGTTGTAGCTTGTCTTGTCAAACAGACAGATATATTGTTAGAACTTGGTTTCTGTGAAGGTAATTGCAGAAAGTGTTCGCGTATATCAAGAATTTGGTGATATCTGATTGTTAGAGGTCAAGAAGCTCCTATTCAATGGCCACCTCGGTCCCCGGATCTTAATCCTTCCGATTTTTTTTTTTCTATATTGGGATCATCGAAATCAAATGTATACGATAGACAACGCCAATCATCTATGGGACAGGATTGAAATTGCTACAAATACATCAAAGAATAATGAGATCTTAGGGTACGTTAACTATAATTGCGCCGTATTATTATGAGTAGGAACGAAAATATTGGTCATATTGAACACCTTTTATGAAACTTTCGCTAACTACACGCTTGGGGACCTCTTGATACAACTCATTTTTTTTTCTCGAAAACTATCCAAGATGGCTTGTTTTATAGGAGACAATGAAGTAAAAAAAGATCTGCTAAATAAAAAATTCAGTCGATGGGAAAGTTGCCAAAAAAAAATCTGCTATAACTTATGTAAAGGTGGGGGTAGTTTTCACCCTTCTCGAACCATTTAGAGTTTTTCGTATAAGTCAAATATTAGAACGTCTAGTAAAACATAAGTGTTCCAAAATTCATTCAAATCGCACTATCGCTTCTTAAAATATTTAAAAAAATGTGGTTAAAAAAACTTTGTCCAATCGACTTATCTTGAATCTAAAAATACCTGGTACTTCTATATCCACAGAACTTTGGGACACCCTGTACTTTATAATAAATCTATTGCCTTATACATACAGGGTGGCCCTACGAAAAGGTCCCACCCCCATTTATGACTCTCGTGGCATATTTTGGGGAAAACGGTCGAACACGACAATTTTTATTTCTGGAGGGACGTCTTTTCATCTATAACCGTGCAATACAGGGTGATCAAAAATAAGATATGGCGTTACATTTTAGATTTTTAAATGGAAACCCTCATTTTTTTTATTTGTAGAATTTCCATGAAGTTTTAAGTAAAAAAAGTAAAGTTTTTACCCATCTTCAATCGTTGTGAAGCTATTTGAGTTTATAATAAAGTTTGAATAATCTAATACTGATAATTATGGAATACACGGCAAAAAAATAATAATTATGGATACCAGCAAGAAAATTTAGCATCAGTCAATGTCATCATTTCAAATTGTAAGTTACCTACCTAGGTGGGATAAATAGTGAACAATGACTAATTCAATTGAAGGAAGGGTAAGAATAACAAAATTACATTATCAAAATGGAAGCATTGCAAGAGCTGCTGCCCGGTTGTTTAATACGTTATATCCAGATAAAAATATTAACAATAGGTATGTGGCTTAGCTAATAAGAAAATTTGAAGAAACTGGTCCTCTGTCTAATATTCGCCGTGTTAGCTTCACAACGATTGAAGATAGGTATAAACTTTATTGTCCAAAAGTTACAAAAACTTCATGGAAAATCTAAAATGTAACACAATATTTTATTTTTGGATCGCCCTGTATTGTGCGGCTATAGATGAAAAGACGTCCTCCTAGAACTCAAAATTGACGTATCCGAGCGTTTTCCCCAAAATATACCAGGATAGTAACAAATAGAAGCGCGGGCCACCTGTATAATACATTTACGGCACTTCACTTACCTTGTAAACATTGAGAATATTTCCAGTGATGTTTATGTTGCTCTTCTTCAAGTTTGGAATATTCGGATCTTGGGCATCGGGAAACATAATCTGGCAATTGGTGTACTTCATTATAGCTTTGAGATTCGAATGATTTTTGCCCAAAACAGCCGGGTGATGATGCGGAGATATTTCCATTGACATCTGAATCGGAATTTGACTCTGGAAAGTAGGGATAATGGTAATTAATTTGATTTTATTTTATGATGCTGTCAAGAAGTGGCGTATACGGGGAAGTCCCCCCCGCCCCTCCAAACGGTACAAAATGCTGATCACGTGATGGACAAATTTGTCAGTTTTTAGACTTAGTCGTGACAGTTTTGAGGTTGCGTAACGGTAAAGTCCAGAATAGTATGATCCTAGGTCCAAAAAGTTAATTCCTGCTACGGACCTAGAACCACCCTGTATCGTCTTTGTTTATTCATTGCTTTGCATGTGTGACAAAATTTGTGTTTGAGTTTTAGAACTCTTAGGACATTTTAAACTTGTTTTGAAGCTTTAATAGTCATTTCGTATCGCAAGGAGAGACATAGGCCTCACTACTATTTTTGGAACGGTTTTTGATACATGAATACTACATGCTATATTGGAATATTTTTTCAAACAGAATGGGAGAGTGTATCCGAGTAGGTTGGGAAATCTCGAAACTGGAGATACTACATACCAAGATATGTGAATTGACCTAAACATACCTTAGTCGTTGCTATGGTTTCTAATGTTTGTCATAATATTGCTTTAAACTTCATCAATAATTTTAAGTTGACAATAAGTTGTTAAACATCATGGAGTAGTTGATGAATATTCTGATATATTCTGATTTAATGTACGGATTGGCAAGATGTGATGCTTTAAAAGCACGAAGATTGTACGCTGACAGAATCCCTAATAAACACCTGCCTAATTCAAAGACTTTCCAACGAATCGATCAGCGGTTACGAGAAGCTGGTATTTTAGGTAGTTTTGCTCAAAATATGAGCAGACATAGTGGCGCTCCCAGAACTGTACGTACAGCTGAAGTTGAAGAAAATGTTTTAGATGCTGTCTTTGAAAATCCTACAGTTGGGGTTAGGAATGTAGCTCGAGAATTTCAATTTTCCAAATGTACAGTAAATACCATTTTTCAAGAGCAACTGCTCCATCCATACCACCTTCAAAAAGTACATGGCTGAAGGGCGGATGATGATCCCGCAAGGGTAGAATTTTGTAGATAGTTCTTAAAGGAGCTTAACCAGGACATTGGTCTTACTTCGTTAATATTATTTTAGGACGAAGCAGGATTTGGAAGGGATGGGCCCATTAACTCGCATAATCTTCAAATTTATGCAGACTAAAATCCTCATGCAAGTACAATTTCAAATTAATTTATGGGCAGGAATAATTATTGGACAATATTTAATAGGACCCTTTGAGTTACCACCTAAACTAAATGGCCAAAGGGACTTACAGTTTCTGGAAGATCTGCTGGAAGATCTTTCATTACAAAAACGCATGAATATGAATAGTTAGGGAGCACATAAATACAGCTTATACAGACCAGTGGATAGGCCGATCAGGACCTGTATCGTGGCGGGCTAGATCACCATATTTAAATCCTATGAATTTCTTCTTCTGGGGTGATTTAAAACGACGCGTTTACAATACGCCAGTGGAAACTGTAGATGATCTTCGACAAAGAATTTTCCACCATAGCCAGGAAATGAAAAGTAACATCCAAATACTTTGGAGACTGCAGCAAGGATTGGTTCGTCGAGCTCGAGAGTGTGTTAGGCAATAATTGTAGTTATTATTTCCGTTTATTAGTTTTGTTGCCATCCTCATTTTTTATTTTTAAAATTGTAACTTTGACACCCTGTATATCTCAAACTATCAACTTTAGAACAAAGGTATGTTTAGGTCAATTCACATAGTTTGGTCAACAGTATCGAGATTCCCCATCCTTTCGCAGACACCCTGTATAAAATATGAGACATTCCATTTGAAACAAGATCTGTCAATTATTTTAATCTGAGTGTCCCATATTATTTTATGTGGACAGATAAACCACTCCAAAATAAGATTGATATAACATACCTTAACGGTTTGATAGTGAGTTATTGAGTTATAAGTATTAGATTCGATATAGGTACAAAAATATGCTACTGTTATAAAGTACTCATAAGGAGCTTCAAAGTAAAAAAAATGTTACAAGGTACCCAGCCGCCATAATGACTTGTTCAATTATTATTTTCATGTTAAAATATTCATGCGGCAACTTTACCTCTTTGCATGTTTGCTAGATAACTTGACCTGTTGAACAAATACGTGGAGGGAACCTTCCTGAGAAGCTCTGTATGTTTATTTTGTGATATTGCCATGAGTGATCACCCTGCAGCGTGAAGCGCCTTACACGCACCACATAGGCGCCATAAAGGTCGATAGATATCCTAAACCGCATCCGCTGAGAAATGTGCGCATCGTTGGCAAATAATGCATAATCTGCAAAGGTGTATTATTTGTCGCCGGTGGGGATTCTATCCGTTTATAAAAACCGGATGGGCCGACACGTGTGATTATTCCTACCCTGGGATCACTCGGGGCGAATCTATCTTCGTGGCACTGAACCTTCCTGGACCAAAAAGTAAGTATCTGTTCCATTTTATTGTACTTTTCTGCGCGCGGCGATTTGTTAATACACTTTTATGTTTGTTTTTTGTGTTATCATTTGAGCCTCTAAACCAGCGAGTCTGCTCAACCCAGAGCAATCTTGAATAAGGAAAGAAATGTACTTTACTTCAAAACAGGAAAATGAGCCTTTCGCTAGTGAGATCCAGGTTTATTTTTTATCAACTTTCCTCCAATATTTTTTGCATCAACGTGCAAAAGTGAAATATAACCTACTTTCTTCGGAAAAGCTCGGCTATGCTAGGGGTAAACAAAGTTTACTATCCTATTTCAAAAAATCTAAAAATATCCATAAAACTTCAATAGTGTTTACTTTTCACGAGTTTAAGATATAAAACTTTGTTAATTTACTCAAAATTGTACATATGTAGTTGCCAGTTTTTTTAGGTAAAATTGAGCTGTCACAAAAAAATTTGAAAAAGAAGAAGAAAATAAAACTAAAATGTTATGTCCATCTCTCGAAACGTTGTCTAATTGAATGTTTATCTTTTTACGTTATGAACATTTTCGATTTTGAAACCACCATGATGAATAAATCATGAAAGTCGAACATGCCACCGCTATGATTTTTTAGGAATTGTCGATAGCTGCGGTAATATTTGATGAGAATCAGCAGTTTCCCTCACATTACCGATAGAAGGCCAACCGTTCCTCAGATTTTTGAATTAATAAGATGATAAGCTTAACTGAATGATCTAGTTCACATAACTCTAATAAGAACATTTGGCTGGCGCAACCCAGGCGCGATGGTAGTATTATTCTCAGAACTAAACGTAACGTTAACGGGAGAATATTGGAAGGCGTTTTCATGGAGTAGTATATAATTTCCACATTTGACCTTTTTTTACAATACTTACCGCTAAATTGTCACAGAGAAATTCCATCAGCAACAAAGTAGCTCTTTTCACTTGCTCTACCTCCCACTCAACGCCCTTCACCAGCACTAGAGTTGCGTGTAGCTTGGGTCTTGTTTTGAACATAACCTGAACCTTGTACTGTTCCTGAATCTTCAATAAGTACGAGGATGAAGTGTCCACGTTTTGGGACATTATCGGTAACTCAAAACCGAATATCAAAGGTATTAATTCCTGCAAATTATTCAAGAGAACCAATAACAAAAATTACATTGATTCTATAAATGATAGGTAGCATACAAAACTTGTTGCTGGAATATATGTTTATAATTTGACAAAACATTCGTACGTTTTTTTTTTTACTAAAATAAAAAGTTTTTTTCGGTGGAATTGAGCTTCAATTTCCAGTGTTGCTGTCAATAAGTAATTAAATTGTGTTGCCGCCAAAAAGTGAAGACCTTTATCACATTGATTTTTTGTATTACATATTTCGTCTTTATCCTATGGGCATACAGAGCCTGTGCTCAGGGCCCCAAAAGCCCAAAAATCAAACCGAATTTCAAAAATGTCCGAATACAATCATCTTCAAATTTTCCCAATGACAATGTAGGACCCCGGATTTCGACATCATAGTACAAGTAGATCCTGATTTTATATTTTGCACGAAGTTAAAAAATAAACACAGACAGACTGTCCCATTTTAATGGCCCCACGAAAACTACGCATCCTAGAAAACAAATCCAAAAAAAAGTTGTAGGGTTTGGAAGGAGCAAAATGGTGGTGACTCTTTCTATGACCTTTATTACGATTTCAAGCTCAAGTCAATATTTTCAAATATACCTCTATTTTCCACCGGAAATGAAATTACACGCCTGAATATGACACCAATTTCCTATAGCAAAATGTTCAACAGCATAGTTGTTTTGCTTGTGGAAGTTATCCAAAGGTTAAGTCGTAGCACTGCCACGGAAGTCAAAATTGTACACGTTTAAATATCAAATTTCTTGCTCTCTGTAAATTTGCGATAAACATTTGCTTTACAAATAACATTTAAGCTTGATATGATTTTTACCATGAGGTCAGGGTCACATTCGGGCGTGAAGTCCTGCTTTTTCCAAATCGATTCGAGTACAAAAATGTTGACTTGACCTAGAAGTTGATGTTCAAGGTCACACTTGGTTGAGCCCCCATAAACTTTGCATCTGTTGTGTCGAATATTTTTGCTTAACAAATTGTTTTCAATGTCTTGATTTGACCTTTACAGTCATGGTTAAGGTCGTATTCAAACGTAAAATTTTATACTCTTTTCAATTGTGATATAAAAAACGCGGTTCCATTTGAAAATATACACTTAACCTTGAAATGATCTTAACTTAACTTTTTATATTAGAATGCCTAGTTTTCGAAAAAGTATGCTGTAGATTCTGGAAGCCTTATACAGTGGACCCCCGATAATCCGGCCCCTGTCTAATCCGGCGCCCCCTGTAATCCGACATGTCTTTGAATATTACATACATACGTATTTGACAATCTTCGCTAACGTAGATCACGCAGGTTTGAACAGGTTACAACTTGTACGCGCCACCGCTATCTTGCTCGACGCGTAAGCATTGTCTTACTTAGTTTGGATTTGACTACTTGTGATAGCGGTACGGCCTAGCGTGCGTTCATTGTTTACTATTTATTCATTGTGTATTAAGTATAGTACCTTGTAATGTGATCACAAACTCAGAAGCGAAAGCACAAAACATTAACAATTAAAAAAAATGTGATATTTTAGACCGCTTAAATCGCAATGAAACTTAGCAAGTGAATACGGCGTAGGCCGATCTACAATTTATGACATTAAAAGAAACCACGAGAAGATCAAGTAGTTCGTGTCAACTACTGACTGCGGGCCAGGCAAGAGACATACACTCAAGAAAGCTGAACATCCAGAAGTGGAAGAAGCTTTGTACATGTGGTTTCTTCTGGAAAGAAATAGGCATGCACCAATTTCAGGACCCATGTTGGCCATGAAAGCTAAGTTTTTTTATAAGGAAATAACAAAAAAAGATGATTTTGTGTCCAGCAAAGGGCGGCTAGAACGTTTTAAATGTCGTCATGGCATACGTTTAATGACTATTATAGGAGAGAAACTTTCTAACGATGCCACCTGCATAGAGCCCTTTAAATTAAGATTTTTGCAAAAGGTGAACGATTTAAATCTTGACCCGTCACAGGTGTAAAATGCAGACGAATCAGGGCTTTTTTGGCGTGTGATGCCTAACAAAACTTTCGTTTCTTGTAACGAAAAATCCGTACCTGGACGAAAAGTAAGCAAAGAGCGTGTAACCATACTACCATGTGCTAACGCTGCGGGCACACACGCTCTTAAGATGATGGTCAGTGGAAAATCTAATAAACCAAGGGCATCAAAAAACATTGATTTACCTGTACACTATTACGGACAAAAAAGTGCATGGATGACAAAAGACCTTTTCAAAAAGTGGTTTGATGAATGCTTCGTACCTGAAGTTAGAAAATGGTTAAAAGATCATAATTTTCCTCAAAAAGCGTTGTTGCTTCTTGCTAACGCTCCCGGTCATCCGTCTGAAGAAGAACTAACAACTGAGGATAAATGCATCACTGCGATGTTTCTTTCGCCAAGTTGCACTGCACTGATTCAACCAATGGACCAGAATATCATTTTGTTTGTCAAGCAAGACTATAAGAAAAACCTCCTTCTGAGAGCCGTATCAAAAGACCAACCAACCAACAGAAAAAACTTTAAAAGAATTTAATATGAAAGACTTGGTTTTTGCTTTGTCAGTCGTGGAATGCGTTACCGTCATCAACTATTAAATCGTCTTGGAAAAAGTTATGGCCAAATATAGTCACCACTCCTAGCAACGTTCCACAAATCAGTGTAACTTCGGAAGTTATAGAACAAGTCGCTACTGAAACACAGATAAGTCCGGAAGATTTGGAAATCTGGTGCCGTGGAATGGATAAAGAGGAAAATCAGGAAAATAACGACGACGTGATTGCAACTGCTCCACAAGTCACAGCACAAGACGCAATTAACGCCTTTGAGCTAGGTTTAAAATGGGCTGAAGAGAATGGTACATCCAACAACGAACTTTTACTTTTGAGCAGACTGAGGGACAAAGCTCTGATCTCGCGTTATAACAACCTTAAACAAAAAAAATTATGACTATTTCCAAGCTTCATAATTTGATAAATTCATTAATGATTTTGATTAATAATTCTTGATTATTTTGGTACATATGTATGTGCATTTATGCTTAATTTTATAATAAAACGTAAGCTCTCTATTGTTATTTAATTTACTAAATTCGACATACATAAACTATGTATGATTTGTACTTCAAAGTACATACATATACATAACATATATAATCTTACCATTGGATATGTAATTTGTCGGATTACAAGGTACTCTTTTGCAAAAAAAACGGACCCCCCCCTGTCTTAGGCAGTAATCTATAATCCGACAAATTCGATAGTCCGACACTGCCCTGCATAATGTTTGTCGGATTACCGGAGGTCTACTGTATTTTTTATCATTACTATGAAGCTAAATTTGTATAAACGTTTAACGAAAAATTAGAACTTACCCTGACGCGGCTTCTAGCGTTCTCCACTCCCTCAATGTCACCAGATATGGACACTTGGTTGCTTTTCTCCAACGGGTTAGATCGATTTGAGTCAGGAAAATGGACATGGCATTGCGTTTCTTCCATCACACGTTTAATGCTAAGACCACCTCTACCGATTATGTGGGAGTGATCCGTATAGCTTATGTCCATTTTCATTGTAACACGGTTACACTGAAAAAACATCATTCTGTAGTCTGGTACCGAAACAGAAGAGCCGATACAAAGGCACACCTCAGTAGCTGTAGGGTATACAGGGTATTCATTTGAAAAGTTCCCACCACTGATTTATCAAAAACCACTGGTTAAAAGAAAAAACGCCGCTACACGTCAAAAGATTTGTTAAGGGGGACAACTTTTTAATAAAAAACTACTTCACCCCTTTTCACCCCCGGTGCCCTAGGGTCGTTCCTTTAAACATTTTAAATGTCACATACATAGCTTGTTTGAAAGGTCTTTTATTTTGACGTTTGATTTTTTAAAATCAGTCGATTCGTTTTCGAGAAAATTAGAAAAATCTTTATCGTAATTTGTTCAGGTAGAAAACAAAAATACACGAAAATATCACTTTTTATTTCAATAAGCGTTCCAAATGTTGCCCGTTAGGGTTTGCCAAATCTACAATTAGTTTATAATTTAAAACGGAAGCTACCAACATAAACAGCAATTCGGAAGATTAGACGTGGCAACAACCAAATAACAACCTGAATTTTTTCCGTTATTATTTTCCTTAACGAACTGCATTTATCATCTCAGATGAATTTTTTAAGGTTAAAGTTAACAGTAAATTTTTAAAAAGTGCATCACAGTATTGTTACTCATATGGTGACATGTTGTAGTTGTTTGGTGGAAATAGGTGGTTTGCGAGATAGTATCCAGTCAATTGCAATTTGAGGTGCTGGTTAACATTATTTTTTTTTTGTACCGCACCGATAAATCCGTGGTCATGGCGACTAGAAGCCGTACTGGTAATAACACAAGTGGATGTGAAAGTACAAATAATACTGAACAGCTTATAATTAAGGTATGTGCCACATTTACTTCCCAGTTAGAACAGAAATTCGATGTCATGTTTGAGAAATTCCATGACAGACTTTCTGAGATGTCTAGAGCTCTAGGTACACTAAGATTTGACTGTACTGAAAATATCAAAAAGATACAAAACCTCGAGCCCAGAGGTGATCACTTAGAGCATTTGCAGAAATGAAGATCCGTTAGAATACTAGGATTGTCAGAATCTGAAAACGAAAACCCTGTGGAGACTCTTTTTGATTTTCTTGATGAGTATTCAAAAGTGAAAGTAGGGATGTTGATGCTGTATTCAGGGTTAAGGGCACGGAACAAAACTCAGAACCTCGTGTGTTGTTAGTAATATTTACTACGTTAGTGCTAAAACAATCTGTAATGTCCGCTAACAAGGCTAAGCTGAAAGGCAGTAATATTCTTGTCTACGAGGACCTATCCATGGAGGTTTATCAGTTGCTACGCTTGACGAAAAAGAAGTATGCTCCAAGGAATGTATGAAAAAGTGTATTTCCAGCCGTGATGATATTGTGTAACCATTTTTTCGTTTACTCTTGTATCACTTTATACCTTGTAACGCAGCTAAGCTTGATTTATTATTATTTTTGGAATTTAATAATTTGTTATGAATTCATTGTTTTAACGGTGAATTGTTTTCATTTCGTGATCTTTATCGATGTGGAACATGAAATTCTAGTACCTTTCATTCTTTTCTCTCACAGTTTTGCTAAGAAATGTTTTTGTACACTAGATTTTTTTTGTACATTTTTATGCAGATATTTTGTATTTTCTAGATATATTTCATTTCTGTAACTGGCGCCAGCAAGAGCTACATTTGTAATTTCTTATGTTTCATTCATTTCGTACGTTCCTTATATCCCATTCATTACACATACACAACTTTTTCAGAATATTCAGGGCTCACCATGATGAACACACTAGCACGCCAATAACAGAAGGAACATGTTTTTCGTTTGCTTATTTTAACGTTCGTTCTTTTTTTACAGGGTTTGACTCTTTTTCTGAATTCATATCTGCTTCCAACTATTCTGTAGCTGGACTTTCAGAAACACGGTTAGACCTATATGTCGATGCTGACACTTTTAAGCTGCCAGGCTACAATTTGGTAAGAAAGGATCGTGGCGGGGTGGCGATTTATGTTAAAAATTGCTTATCATTTTGTGTAGCTGACTCGTCAGTCTCACCCGACTTGGAACAGTTGTGATAAAACAAAAAATTAGTAATAAATTGGTTTGTTTGGGCACATAATATCGTCCTCCTAATTCTAATGTCGATAACTTTTTCAACGAGCTTGAAAATGCGATTACCTTTGTCAAGTCAGAATTTGATGAAACACTTGGTGGCGATCTTAATATTGACCTTAGTAAAGCCAGCAATATAGCCGCTCAACTTGTTGAATTTTTAGATGAATATGAGCTGTCTCAGATTATAGATTCATGCACTCGGCCAGCCAGTGGTAGTATACTAGATTTAATTATTATTTCAAACGTTAACATTGTTGCATCTCATTCTGCTATGAACATGGATGACATTTCCGATCATTCCTTAGTTTTTTTTTATACTCCAACTACCACGAAGGCCTAAGGCCTAAGCACCCATTGGGAAAGGGGGGGACGCCACACGGACTCTGGCGAGGGAACACGTGTGCATGCAACATGCACACATTCTGGCTCCGCCTACGAGAACCGTCGGGTGGTACCTCCGCGTTCGAGAGTCAGAGACCATCTACCACCTACGGACAATCACAACATCCATAGCCAAGAGAAAAATTTCTCCTGGGTCGGGACTCGAACCCGCACAGCGCACGGCGACTGATCAGGAGACTGAAGAGTCTACTACTGCGGTCACCGCGGAGACCGAAGAGTCTACTACTGCGGCCACCGCTGCTGCCTCAAAATTCATATAGTATGTTTTGCAATAAAATAAAAAAAATAAATAAATTATGTTACTTTTATACATCGTAGAACTTTTTCGAGGTAAGTCGGTACTGTTTGTGCTGATTATGAAGTAAAACAGATGTAATGATGTTAAGTCGTTTGCCTACGAGAACCGCCGGGTGGTACCTCCGCGTTCGACAGTCAGAGACCATCTACCACCTACGGACAATCACAACATCCATAGCCAAGAGAAAAATTTCTCCTGGGACGGGTCTCGAACCCGCACAGCGCACGGCGACTGATCAGGAGACCGAAGAGTCTACTACTGCGGCCACCGCTGCTGCCTAGTTGATGTAATACGATTTTCGTTGCTGATAGGTCATTCCTATTTTTAGAACATACCGGGACTTTTCTAAATTTGATTACAATGATTTTGTTAATAACCTACTGCAGATAAACTGTCAAGCAATTTATCATATGCAAAATATTGATGACATTATTTCATTTTGGGATATTAATATCTCTAAGATCTTTGATTGGCATGCTCCGTATAAAACTGCTAGAATCACTAAGAGACCAGCTCCCTGGTGGACAGACAACTTAAAATTGATGAAACAGCTTAAGAAAAAAGCTTTTTTTAAGGTATAAGAGGTATAAGACTCAGGAGACACTGCAATATTATAAGAATTTGAGAAATTTGCTCAGCTTCTCAATACAGTCTGAAAAGAAAGAATTTTTACAGTCAAAATCAAAATTATCTTTTGGAAAGCTATGGACAATCTCAATATCCGAAATAGTCCTTCTGACATTAATGGTCTGCATTACGACCCAGATGAACTTAACAACTTCTTCATTGATGGCGTTCCTTCCAGTGTTATCGCATCTGGCGTTGATGCAAGCCAATATGTATCTGATCGTAATGTAGTAGTAGTAGTAGATTTATTTAGCACATTTGGCTACATAAACAGAATAATTGTAAACACCTTAGAACTAGTAAATTCAAGCCATATGGTGTATGATGTAAATGCTGGGCAACCTATAATTGTAGATTTAACAAGTGATTTCTCAATTTTACTTTAAATTTTGTGAAAGTTTTCTGGTCTTTTATCTCCGAGTATAATTTATTATATTCAATCAACCCTTGATGGAATACAGATTTGTAGCATATGTTATACTTTTAGGTCATTAAATGGAAGTCATCTTTATTTCTGATATTATGTAAATGATGGTCGACATTTGATGATGTTAAATTAGTTAGACTTGATGGAAATATATTATTTTTTTACTTTATAAATGAATATCATTACAAGATATTTGATAAATTTTTTTACATTGAGCCATTTTAATTTGCTAAGAATTTGCCTAATTGGAGTATATTTATCTTTATTTAGTATTATTGTCATGCACTTATTTTGTAAAATTTGCAGTCTTTCAAAAATGGAATTATTTGCTAAATATAGAATAGTCGAACAGTACAAGAAATTTGGAAGAATGATGGTATTATAGATAATTTTTCTGCTATATGAACTCAGACATCTAGAAACTCTCGATAAATATCCCACTTTACTACTAATCTTATTTATAACTTTTTCATAATGAATATCAAAAATTAATCGAGAGTCAACAAAAACCCCCAGGTATTTAAAATTCTCTACGAATTCAATATCTTCACCATCAATATTCAGTTGAACATCTGTACATTGTTTTTTTCCGATTAACAAGGCTTTCGTTTTACTTGCATTTAATTTTAGTCTGTTAGATGCTAACCATTTTGAGACAAGCTTCAAGTCTTCATTTATATAAGAGATACCAGACTGAATGTTTTTAGTACTTATATAAATCATAGTGTCATCGGCGAAAATCTGAATTTTGCATTTTTTGACTATGGCAGGTAAATCATTTATGTATAAAATAAAAAGAAGTGGTCCCAGGATACTGCCCTGTAGAACACCCAACGTATTTTCAGTTTTTGATGAAATAGTGTTATTAACTTTTGTAACTTGCATCCTTTTAGACAAATAATTTCTAAACCAATCTAAAACACTTCCTGTTATACCATATGCCTTCATTTTACCTAACAAAATATCTCTATCAATCGTTTCAAATGCCCTCTTCAAATCCAAAAATACTGCTATGACAACTTCTTCTGAGTCTATGGCTCTTCTCCAATTCTGTTACCAACTGGAAAGCTGTTTCTGTGGAATATTTTTTTCGAAAGCCTGCTTGCGCCTCCACTAAAATTTTGTTTTCTTCTATAAACTGCATTAATTGGTCATGCACTATGGACTCTATAATTTTTCAATGTCTGGTAACACATTTACTGGTCTCATATCGCTGCATCTTTTAGAATTTTTTATTTTGGGATCTGGTGTTATTGTAGAGCATTTCAAATTTTCAGGAAAAGAACTGCTTCTCAGTGAACAATTGATCCAATTTAATACAGGATATCCCAAAATTTCGAAACAGTTTTTCAGCACGTTTTCAGTAGTGATTTCGGCACAGTTATTTGATTTTAAACTGTTTACTTTTTTTCTTAGATAATTCAATGATACGCTGTGAAATTTTGAAAGTGTATGCAACATTTCCCCCTGGAACGTATATATATATATATATATATATATATATTAATAATAAATTTTCATTCCGTTTTGTGAGTGCTGAAGCTATTGAGCGCATATTAATGTCAATAAAATCTAATTCATCTGGTACTGACAAGATTGACCTCAAGATGATTCAACTAGTGTTTCCTTATCTAAGTAACAAAATTACTTATATTGTCAATTTTTGCCTTGCTAACAACACTTTCTCGTCCAGCTGGAAATACTCGATTATCCCTATCCCAAAGATTGGTAATGCAAACGAATTTTCTCATTTTCGCCCTATAATTATTCTACCTACCTTTTCGAAAATATTGGAAAACTAAAAACATTTATTACATCTAATAATATACTTCCTACCACACAATCGGGCTTTCGCTTAGGCCATAGTACTTCAAACGCACTTGCAACCGCTACAGATGACTTATTCAGAGCATGTGACAATAAGATGTATAGTTGCTTGATTTCAGTAAAGCTTTTATACAATAGATCATTCAATCTTATGTTCGAAACTTAAATCTCTGGGACTAAGCAATATTGCCTGTAGATTTCTTTAATAGCTACCTGTCAGGCAGATCCCAGTGCACAGAATTCAATGGGCACATATCTCAGTTTCGTAGTATTACCATTTAAGGACCTTGGTTGTTTTCACTGTATACGTCAGATTTGAAAAGTCAGTTGGAATTTTGCAGTGCACATCAATATGCAGACGATACACAATTGTATTACTCTTCTAAACTTGAAGATGCTTATGCTGCCTGCATGCGTATCAGTTCTGATCTTGAGTATTTATGTAGATATGTAAGAGCCCACAGCCTTGTATTAAATGAAAATCAAACTGAATGGCTTATTTTTGGATCAAGACCGTGTGAGGTTACTGACAACCCGAATTTTAGAATCTGCATTAATAACACTATTACAAGCAAGCAACCACTGTAAAAATCTGGAGCTATACAGGGTGTCCGCAAAGTTGGGGTTTTCCTTTTCAGAAACAACTACCCTTGAAATAACAAAGGTAATGTGTAGTGAAACGAGGGCGACCAAGTAAAAAAAATAAAGGAAAAAGTACTCACTCTCCAGTTGACGAGAAGGGCTAAGTACGTCTCTGCCCGAAATCATACCGCTCCAACAGAAAATGAAATCAGCTGATGCGCTATCGAGCAGACGAAGAAACCACATTGATTGTCTTACACTTAATGGCACATCTTCTAACAAGGAAGGCAAAATGTTGCGTAAAAAGTCTAGGTATTGCATCCCGTCCAATCGATTTGGGAGAATAAATGGTCCAATGAGCATACCGTTCACCATGCCAGCCCAAACATTCACCGAAAATGTTTGTTGAAAATGTGCCCGACGGACAGCGTGCGGATTTTCTACTGACCAAACATGAGTGTTGCGAAAGTTATTCACCCCATTACGCGTAAATGTAGATTCGTCTGTCACCAATATGCACTTCAAAAAGTCTGGATTATTGTCATGTTGATGCAACAACCACTCACAAAACCGCACTCTTGCTAGAAAATCGTCAGGTTGAAGGGCTTGTACACGTTGGACGTGAAACTTTAGTTTTTGATACTTTCACTCCTCTAGCCATGTCTCTAGTGCTTGTTGAGGGATTTTCGTCTACGCGATTACCTTTGCACGCGTGACCGTAACCGTCGGTTGAAGGTTGCATACTGACCTGACACACTGACCCCGACCCAGTTCTGTCGTCGGGTTGAGCCAGTGACCTTGTACCAGTCGGTGATGTCGCGGCTACAGGACGGTATTCAGATATTTTTGATGTTGCAGAGCCCTTTATCTCGGTTCCCTTAAGACATTGGTGTATATGGTACTAAGAAAAATTGCTTATGTTTGCAAGATCTACACGTCGTGTAAAGGAAAACCCCATCTTTGCGGACACCCTGTATATGGATAATACTCTTAAATTTGTTCCCCACGTTAAGTATCTCTTACAAAAAGCTTATGCTACATTAAGGACTTTTTATCTTCACAAGAATGCTCTCTCTACTGAAGTTAGGCTGAATCTATACGATTCGTTGATATTGTCTTCCTTGTCGTATGCTGATAATGTATATCTACTAGCCTGCTCTCACTACTAGAGACAAACGTTCAACTCAAAAAATTCAGAACTCATGCATTAAGTTTTCGTACGGTTTGAAAAAATATGACCACTTCAGTGACAAATTGTGACTCAAACTGGATCTGTTGCAAATAAAAAACGTGAACATCGGAGAGTTTTGGATGAAGCCGCTCAAGTTGAAGTTTTGGGTCATTATGGAATAAATCCTAATACTTCATTCGCAAAATTGTTGCTGCGACTAGTATTCCATTAGCATCTGTGCACACAGTTACTAAACTCCATAGATTTCATCCATTCAAAATGAAAATATTTGCAAGAGCTGGCCGAAGATGATTTCGCTAGGCGAGTAGAGTTTTGTGAACAAATGACTGCAGCGATTAATGATAATATCATACCATTCCTGTAAAGAATATTTACTTCAGTGATGAATGTAAACATTTTATCTAAATGGATTTGTTAATAAGGATAACTGCAGCTATTAGAGCAATTAAATCCTCATGCTTTTGTAGAAGGGCACACCCAGTACCCTCAAAAAATTAATGTATGGGCAGGCATCTTAGGAAACAAAGTGATTGGGCCATTGTTTATTAATGGAAATTTGAATGGAGACATTTATTTGGATATGTTGGAAAATACCATCAATCCTCTTATCACTGAAAACATTGAAAACCAAATCAAAAAGCATGGAAACCCTCTTGATGAGGCTGAAGTATATTTCCAGCACTATGTTCTTCCAGTTCGGCAATGGCTATACGACGATTATCCAGATATAATACGAGTATATCTGGTATAGGGCGAAGAGGGCCTATAGAATGGCCTGCTAGATCTCTTGATTTGACGCCACTGGACTTTTTTCTATGGGGCCATTTGAAATCTATTGTGTTTTGAACACTTTGAACACTTGTTGAAATAAAAAGTGATATTTTCGTGTGTTTTTGTTTTCTATCTGATCAAATTAAGATAAATAAAGGTATTTCTAATTTTATTGGAAACGAATCGACCGATTTTAACAAATCAGACGTCAAAATAAAGGACTTCGAATGACTTTTCAAACGAGCTATTACTCGATACCCCTTGTCATTTAAAATTTTCAAGGGAGTGACCCTGAGGGGTCGAGGGTGAAAGGGGGTGAAGTAGTTTTTGGTTAAAAAGTTGTCCTCCTTTGCAAATCTTATGACGTGTCTCGGTGTTTTTTCTTTTAATCAGTGGTTTTCGATAAATCCGTGGTGGGAGGTTTTCAAATGAACATCCTGGATATTAAGCTATTCTCTTGTGTTTTGGCACCCGAGTATGGATGGTTTTTTGACAGAAAATAACGAAGCATAGGTATTATGATACTCCGTTGCTCTTTGCTAATATCTGTCAATGTTTAACAGCATCATTTACTAAGTATATATCTAAAAGCTGACCGGGTTAAATAAATGATAGATTTTCAATGAATCATCTAAAAAACTATAATCCCATTTTCATGACGCAATACTTCTTTTGCTTATGTGAGGAGGGAAAAATGCTCGAAATCAACTTTTGAAAACGATCAACTCCCTAAAAATTGTCGAATGGAAGAAAAATATCGGTGAGCAAGCTCTTGCAAAAAGAAGTATATTACCCTTGTATTCAAAATAGTCATGATCCTATCCTTTGCAGCTTGAACATCTTCTGGTCTACCTGCAATCCTTACATGAGGATCTTTTTTCGATTTCGCTCCTATTTTCAACCGGTTGGGCCATGTAATATATGTGTCAGTGTCTTCCATAATTTTTGCGAAAAATACATCTGCTGGAATGAGTGCTTCATTATCACCTGAAAAAGGTAAAATTGATAGTTTCATTATATAGAGGCATTTTCAAATTACACACAATATCGATACTCTAAGTAGATCGAATCAGTACTTCTCATGCAAAAACGTTGATGAGATCACATAAAATCAAAATGTTGTATCTCTTGGAAGTATTTTGACCGAATAATCAATAACTTATTACCTCGCTTAAAATTTTGTTCAGTTCTAAAATGACCTAATCCTTCAAAAGTGTAGGAGAAGTGTAGAAAATAAAATACCTCCAGAACATGTACCCGCAATGGAAAACAATCATAATCCTCAAAAACATGGAATAGTGAATTTTGAACAAGCTTGTATGTTTTGTTGTTTCTCCTGACTATTCAACGATTGAAGATTTTCGTGATCGGTATGTTCAAAAAGTGTTTTAAAACTAATCATCAATATAACCAATACTCCCATGACAAAAAATGACATTCACTATTTCTAACAGTGAATTAATAACTAATTCTACGATATCTGTTCAACGAGCAGTGGTTAATAAAGATGAGAACATCTTTAAAGTGTATGGAGGCTCCCATCGTGCTTAAAAATTCGATATTATCAAGGCCATCTTTATGACTTTGAAATATTAGCAGTTTAACCGTATTAATGAAAGTATGGAGTATCGTTTAAATTAAATGCTCCGTTTACTCATCCAAGTTTCTGTATAACATCAAGAAAGTATGTTGGTGGTTGACGAGTTCCGAAACGTTTGATTCAAATTCGGATGTTGTTGCCTTGTAGATGATAATATACTAAGTGACATATAAATCCGAACACCCAGTTTAAATGGTTTTATTTTAATAAAAGTTGGTGAATGTATTTATCTTACTGTAAATAACAAGTGAAAAAATGTTCAGCCTTATCAGTTGGACATTCCGGTTTTAATACTGCTTTTTTTTAATTCACTAACGCTCTAAAAATGAATATTTCAGCCGCAGTAAAGAATCAACGTTGGCGGATTTTGGTTCTTGATATCCTTTACGATCGGTTACGATGCCTAGAGTACGGAGACCTGTACGATTTCGTCAACTTAGTGAGTTTGATAGGGGCCGTATAGTGGGACTTCGGGAAGCTGGACTTTCTTTTCGGGCAATTGCAGTTAGAGTGCAAAGAAGTGTAGACACTGTGGTTAGGTGTTGTCAGGCATGGCTTCGAGAAGGCCGTACGCAAAGAGCAAGGGGCACTGGACGCCGCCGTAGAACAACAGACCGTGAAGATCGCCGCCTAAGATTATTGGCCTTAAGGGACCGTTTCTCCACTACCAGGTCCATTGCAAATGAGTGGTTTGCAGAACACGGAAGACCTATTGGCATGCGAAGTGTTTACCGACGAATGATAAGTTTTGGCTTGTTTTCATACCGGCCACACTGGGTCCTCCCTTTAACTCGAGAACACCGACGTAATCGCCTTGAGTGGTGCAGACAACGGTCACTCTGGGATCAGGAATGGAACAGTATTGTCTTTAGTGACGAGTCTCGATTTTGTTTAGGCATGCACGATGGTCGTGCCAGGGTTAGAAGGCGACGTGGTGAAAGGAGGAATCCACAGTTTTTTGTTGAAACACATGTTCATCACACTGTTGGAGTTATGGTTTGGGGTGCTATAGCTTATGGTTCCAGGTCACCTTTAATCTTCATCAGAGGTAACATGAACGCGCAGCGTTATATCCACGAAGTTCTAGAACCCCATCTTTTACCCTATCTGGACACCCTGGCAAATCCAACTTTCCAACAAGATAATGCCCGACCACATGTTGCAAGAGTCACAATAGACTTCTTTCAACATAATGATGTCACATTGTTACCATGGCCACCAAGATCTCCCGACGTATCCCCAATTGAGCACGTGTGGGATATGATGGGTAGGAGATTGCTCAATTTGCAACGTCCTCCTCAGACTCTAGAAGCATTTCGAGAGGAGTTGGTGGTTGCCTGGAATGAGATACCACAGGAGGACATTGACCACCTGATCAGAAGCATGCCTAGACGCGTTGGAGAATGCGTAGCACATCAGGGTGCATCCACACATTATTAAAGGTCAAAGGGCTTTAAAGCAGTGCAATCATTTTGAAATTTTTATCATTTACTTATTATGCTTCATTAAGTACTTATACAAAATTTTATTAAAATAAAACCATTTAAACTGGGTGTTCGGATTTATATGTCACTTAGTATATGTTAATTATTGTCTGATTCATTTTGGTGTTCTATCTTATATTCGCTAATCCCTGGTTCCGTCTATAACTTTTAAATTACCACTCCGGTTTTGATGAAATTTCCACACAAGTTTACTACTATGCCAAGGACTAAAAGGCTTTACAGTTTTTGAAAATCGGTTCAGAGCAGCGGAGAAAAAAGCCAAAAACGAAAAAATATAAATCCCCCAAACTTCGTTATTTGAGGTTTCAGGGTGTATCGCAATTATTTGACGGTGTATATTGATAAATTTCTAAACCTGGTAATTTTATGCGCCTATTAGGCATATTTCACAAATATACTAAGTGACATATAAATCCGAACACCCAGTTTAAACGGTTTTATTTTAATAAAAGTTGGTGAATGTATTTATCTTACTGTAAATAACAAGTGAAAAAATGTTCAGCCTTATCAGTTGGACATTCCGGTTTTTATACTGCTTTTTTTTAATTCACTAACGCTCTAAAAATAAATATTTCAGCCGCAGTAAAGAATCAACGTTGGCCGATTTTGGTTCTTCACATCCTTTACGATCGGTTACGATGCCTAGAGTACGGAGACCTGTACGATTTCGTCAACTTAGTGAGTTTGATAGGGGCCGTATAGTGGGACTTCGGGAAGCTGGACTTTCTTTTCGGGCAATTGCAGTTAGAGTGCAAAGAAGTGTAGACACTGTGGTTAGGTGTTGTCAGGCATGGTTTCGAGAAGGCCGTACGCAAAGAGCAAGTGGCACTGGACGCCGCCGTAGAACAACAGGCCGTGAAGATCGCCGCCTAAGATTATTGGCCTTAAGGGACCGTTTCTCCACTACCAGGTCCATTGCAAATGAATGGTTTGCAGAACACGGAAGACCTAGTGGCATGCGAAGTGTTTACCGACGAATGAGAAGTTTTGGCTTGTTTTCATACCGGCCACACTGGGTCCTCCCTTTAACTCGAGAACACCGACGTAATCGCCTTGAGTGGTGCAGACAACGGTCACTCTGGGATCAGGAATGGAACAGTATTGTCTTTAGTGACGAGGCTCGATTTTGTTTAGGCATGCACGATGGTCGTGCCAGGGTTAGAAGGCGACGTGGTGAAAGGAGGAATCCACAGTTTTTTGTTGAAAGACATGTTCATCACACTGTTAGAGTTATGGTTTGGGGTGCTATAGCTTATGGTTCCAGGTCACCTTTAATCTTCATCAGAGGTGAAATGAACGCACAGCGTTATATCCTCTTAGTTCTAGAACCTCATCTTTTACCCTATCTTGACACCCTGGTAGATCCAACTTTCCAACAAGATAATGCCCGATCACATGTTGCAAGAGTCACAATAGACTTCTTTCAACATAATGATGTCACATTGTTACCATGGCCACCAAGATCTCCCGACTTATCCCCAATTGAGCACGTGTGGGATATGATGGGTAGGAAATTGCTCAATTTGCAACGTCCTCCTCAGACTCTAGAAGCACTTCGAGAGGAGTTGGTGGTTGCCTGGAATGAGATACCACACGAGGACATTGACCACCTGATCAGAGGCATGCCTAGGCGCGTTGGAGAATGCGTAGCACATCAAGGTGCATCCACACATTATTAAAGGTCAACGGGCTTTAAAGCAGTGCAATCATTTTGAAATTTTTATCATTTTCTTATTATGCTTCATTAAGTACTTATACAAAATTTTATTAAAATAAAACCATTTAAACTGGGTGTTCGGATTTATATGTCACTTAGTATATATTGTCACGTTCTTTTGTATATAGGCTGTTTCACATGCGACCCTCACAATTGGGATCTCGGAAACATAACAGCTTAGATCCTGATGAATATCTGCTTGGCCAACATCAAATCAATCAAGATCTGCAGTCTATTTTGACATATCTAGTGCTCACAATCTAAAACTGCATGCTAGCAAATCTAGCTGCATTTTATTTAGGCTCAAAAAGAATCATGAAATAAATCAATATCGCATAAACCTTGGTATCTGGTTTGACTGCAAGCTACGCTTCACTAAAAATATTAACCAACTATGCAATTCGTCATATAATCTGCTTCGTCAGTTATACCCGAGTCGAAGTGTCCTGTCAACACAGCTCAAACTTAAACTCTGCGAATCCCTAATCCTGCCAAAATTATCTTACGGTGACTCTGTTTATGAATCTGTTCTTCTACAGCATGATGCCAAGCGGATTCAGATGATACAAAACTCATGCATCAGATTTTCTTATGGAATCCGCAAAATTTGATCATATTAGTAGTGCTTTTAACCATTCGGGATGGTTTAAGATGAACAAATTGAGGAAACTGCATTGCCTATCTCTGGTACATAACACTCTTCTCCTTAAAGCGCCATATGATCTGTATTCAAAGCTAACCCTCCTCTGTCAGTACGATCAAAGATCCGCTAGGAATAAAGGCATCTTACTCATCCCGCGGCATTCGACAGCATTGTTCACACGTAGTTTCTCGAACTGGCCACCCAAACTATATAACTGCTTGTCAAGTGAGTATAAAGAATATAGCCTAAGCAATTTTTTAAAAAAAGGTTAAATATGAGCAATCGGATATCTAGAATTTAACTTTACGCATATCCACAGGTAATTGATTGTTTCCTTCTTCTGAGAAGTGTAATATTTTAAGCTTTTCTCTTTTTGGTGGCCAATGTTGTGAACTGTGCCATTTAAATGTAGGTACTTTTTTTTCTCTTTATAGTTGACACTCCACCTTTTCGTCACTATTCCTTTTAAGCCAATTATTTTGAAATCATGTGACGAATAAAGGCCATTTATTATTATTATTATTATTATTATTATTATTATTAATATTATTATTATTATTATTATTATAAGACGCTTAAATGGGGGCAAAGTTGCGTATTTAGATAATTAAGTAACAAATTCCCGCTTAGAAAGTTTCGAAATTCAAAGTACTTCCGGAGATAAACGGAAAGAACCGAATTTTGCCAAAATCGTTTTCATTTTTTCCTGACTTGATTTGTATTGCCATTTCAAAATAAATTAAACCTTAGCCTTGCTACTTTTTCTCCTATTCAAGATGGCATAATTAGATTTTGGACGCCATATAATATGTCTAATACGTCATATATGTATTGTCATTGCTACACCTTAGGCCCGTATCGTCAGTCGTCCCTACAATTGTAGGGCGCCTTTATGGCCTCCTTGATTGTCATACGCCTTTCTCTCCTTCAAAAATTTCTAGATTACACTTGTCCCGTGTCACCGTCAGCGCTCTCCTATTGTGAAGATATGTTTTCTTTTTAAATTGTAGGAAATTTCAGGCTGATAAAACATGATATAACTCAAAAGCAAGCACAATTTGATGCAAATAGATGTTTGTGACATAACCTCAAAATAGAGTTCTGACACGGAGAAGCAGAAAACTATGACAATCAAGGAGGCCATAAAGGCGCCCTACAATTGTAGGGACGACTGACGATACGGGCCTTAGTTATTACAAAAAAGCAGAATTTTCTAGGTAGGTCTTGTAATTATCAGTCATTTGTTTCGTATACCAGATTTATCCCAATATCACTCAGATTTTTTTTTAAATAAATTGCATGTTGTCATTGTTACTTATTCTTCTCTAGAAAATGGCGTAGCCAAATTTTCTATTTGACATTCTTTCAACTTCCATCACCAACTTTGTTTTTATATGGACGCTATATTAGAATTTTGTACATTTGGTTTTTTTTAGTCCTAACCTCAGTATTTTCTTAGTTTTTCATGGATTTGTAATTGGATGAATTATAAGGAAATAAAAAGGTATGGTGAAACCTGAACACTAAATGAAAATTTTATTGATAGTAATAACAATAATAATCATAAGTAAGGAGAGGTAAATGATAGCAGATGTTCAAAATGTTGTTCGTTATTTTGTTGGCAAACCCTGACTATTCTCTATACATTGTTAACTGTTCGATTTATCTTCCTTCTTCTCAGTCCTAAAAACTCTGTTGCCATGTTCAATTCGAGGTCTGGTCTGGTATACGAAACAAATGAAATCTGATAATTTCAAGGCCTACCTAGGAACTTCTGTTTTTCTGGATTAACTTAGGTTTGGCATTGTCAATGTATTTTTCACATCTTGGTGGCCGAAATAAAAACTCTATTTATCTGTGCAAAAATAAAATATGGCATCCATGAGAAAAAAATAAAATAATGCTGGAGGACAAGAGACTGAACGTCATATTAAAATTTTAATTATGCCATCTTGTATAGGAGAAAAAGTGGCAATGATAATGTGCACATAATTTTGAAACCCCGGCCACTACAAATAAAGTCAGGAAAATATTGAAATTATTTTGGTAAAATTCGGTTCGTACAACCACGCAACGAATTTTTCACCTAGTCAGCTAAGAAGAGACGTCTATAATAAATTATCATTATAAATAATCAGAAAGGATGGCAACGTTAGGACTGTAGTTATTCAGGTATGAAATAACGAGAAGACATTCATCAACTTTCTGCAAATATGAAGATATTTTATGTAATGATCTCATCTATTTTTAGTACATTTTCCTCAAGCAAATAATACCAGGACGTTTTCTTCAATCATATTCGATATATAGAAGGAGAAACTTTATTCATATCATCATGCGTATTCAATGTCCATAATTTAAATTTTTGACAAATCAACAGTGATTCTTTCACTGATACTCATTCTACTACAGCCTTCTGTCAGGGTACCTACAATGATTTTCATAGCTGGGAAACAATAAATGCTCCCCCAAACCAACGCGGAAAATTCGCAATACCTACAAATTCACACCATCTTGTTTTTATTGCGGTAAATAGACAAGTTCAAACTAGCGCGGTATTCTTCGTTATGAATGCGATTTTTCTGCATATTTATCTGCACGGAAATTTATATAGTTCGTAACTAGATGCGTTTCTATCGGATTTAGTACTTCTGCAACGTCATAAAGTGAAAAATATTCCAAATAGCAAATTATTGAATTAGTTCGAAATTCCCCTATAGTACAGGGTGGTCCATAAGTCCTTTGAAATTTCAAATTTGAATAAAATTTAAGGGGTGAGCGTGAGCGGCGCGGGCGAGGTGGGGGCAGTATCTTCAGTGTCTGGGAATTCAGTCGCCATGGAGTGTTTCACTGGAGCGGATCGTGCTTTTTGTGTGCGCGCGTTTTATCAAAATAATGATTCGGCAACCATTGCGCGGCGTAAATATCGAGAATACCACAATTTACACAATTTTACAAAGTGTCCAACAGCTCAAACGATTAAGAACTGGGTTGCTAAGTTCGAAGAGACTGGTTCGACGTTAAATAAACAGCGGTGGGGTCGACCAAGGACAACTCGTATTGAAGAAAACATCAACATTGTGGCACAGTCTGTTCGTCAAAATCCTACCCAGTCTACTCGTTAGCATTCCAGTGCACTAAACGTACCCAGAACATCTTTACAGCGGATTTTAAGGAAAGATTTACGTCTTCACGCTTACAAAATTCAGTTAGTGCAGGATTAAAAGATAATGACGCTATTCAGAGACTAAACTTTGCGAATGAAATGTTGAATCGATTTTCTTCGCTCAATAATGTGTTGTTCTCGGACGAGGCTCACTTCCATTTAAACGGGCATGTAAATAAACAAAATTGCCGTTATTGGAGCCCCGAAAATCCAAGGCGTAAGCATCAGAAGCCCTTACACAGCCCTAAAGTTACAGTTTGGGCTGCTATGTCAGCGCATGGCATCGTAGGCCCTTATTTTTTTGAGGACGACAGAGGTCGCGCTTTAACTGTTACTTCGGAGCGGTATGTAGCAATGATAGAAGAGTTTTTGAGACCAGCGTTGCAGAATTTTCCAGGCTATAATACGCAGACCTGGTTTCAACAGGACGGAGCAACTGCCCACACCTCCAACACTTCTATGCCCGTCGTCTGTCAACTTTTTCCCAGCAAAGTAATTTCTCGAAGAGGAGACATTTCCTGGCCACCACGTAGTCCAGATTTGACCCCAATGGACTTCTTTTTATGGGGCTACCTCAAGAGTAAAGTGTACGACACCACTCCGCGATCAGTTGATGTCCTGAAAGAAAATATCCGAAGAGAAATGGCAAGCATTACAGTGTTGACTTGCCGCGCAGTCATCGACAATTTTAGACGTCGTTTATATGAGTGCCGTGATCGTAATGGATTGCATTTAGACGATGTGATTTTTAAAACATAATTCCCATTCAATAAAGATGATAACAAAATATAATAATTCTTCATAATGTAACTAGTTTGGTTTTATTCCTTTTTTTCCAGCTCAAAGGACTTATGCGCCACCCTGTATATGACCTTTTTCATGAAGACTATAAAAATGTTCCCAAAAAGGTTTTGACTGAAACAGTAGAAGACCTAGGCAAAAATGGCAAATTGAAACTCATTACATTACCTATTTACCTAACAAAATAATAGTCATAAATATTTCAGTGAAAATTCTAACAATATTATATGTAGTACATGATACGATAGTAGAAATACAACGTAAATGGAATCCGCCAAATAATTCGCCTTAAAGATACCATAGCGTACAAGTAGAGAGTCAACCTACTTGACCCTATTTTTGTAAAACGTTATCACTAGGAGTCTGTCTTTTACTACCTGCTGAGTACTCAAATTTTTACCTGTAAGCATATGTTCCAACTTTTTCCTATCAACTCTGAAACGGTCCTGGTATAAGTCAGCTACGTCTTTGAGTCCTAATTTCGTCACGAAATCCTTCAGTTCTTCCTTTGAGTCCCAGTTTGAGTTCCATCCTGAAGTCGTTGTGCCCGTTTCCGATATCTCCGACATCGTATCGGAATTTTTCGCGATCTCCATCGGTTGCGATGGAGGCATGTAGTTGCAAGCCATTTTTTCGTTTTTAAAATTTACCGATCACACACCGACACATAAATACACCAATAAATAATTTTAAAAGTTTTAATATTTTAGATTACCTGGCTCAAACCGTTTTAGTTTTGCAGGGATCAAGAGGAGATATTCGTTCAAGTGGGATCGTCGAAGGTATAGTGTTCTTAAAAAGTGTTAGGTCCAGTTTTTTCTTCGAAACATGTGGTTTTAGTTCTTTATACATTTTTTCGTGGCACCAACAGAAGGAGTTGTTGGTTTGAATTCTCTAAATAACAAAAAAATGGCATCAAGTAGGTTGACTCTGCGTTTTCTTCACAACGCTGTCATCAGCTATTAAAGCATTATATTCAGTGCAAGCTCGACCCTCTGAGAAGAAAGGTAGTCACGAACATGCATAGCAAAGGAATTAAACGCATCCACTCTCAAGTTATTTCCTTATCCTCGCGGCAGTCCATCTGGCAACGTTGCCTCTCCCCTATAACTCACCCGCTCAGATGCGGCAGCGCGGCAATAGTACGGGAGCACCAAGGTCACCACGCCGGCGCCGGCGCCGCTGGGAACAGAAGCAGACGCGTATTGAAAACGTTTCTGTCATAGGTGCGTAGAATTACCGAGGTTGGGAGCATAATAAATATACTACTATCACAAAATTGAAATTGACCTTCCTCAACCCCCCACCCTCCAATTGTTTACCCCCATTTTTTTAAATGATCAGGATCCTCTGACACGTCAAAAAGCGAAGTTTGAGCGATTTTTACTTTTTTGTTATTGCCATTTTTCACCGTCGCCACTAGACCGACTTTCAAAAACTACAACCTTTCTCGTCCTTGGCATTTTCTACGTGATTACTTGCATTAAAACACAAAGTAGGTACGGCTTATCGGTTATACAAGTAAATATCACTCGACGACTTTCGTACAAAAAAATATAATTTACCATCAAGTATCAAGTAGCTTGAAAATGCTTGACCTCAAGTCAAGTAGATCAATAAAAAAATCAAGTCAAGTCACTCGTTAATGCTTTAAGTGATTGTATTGTCAGGTCAAGAAGTTTATGAAAATATCAAGCTGCTTGAGCAGTACTTTCCTGGTTGTAGATGGGCCAAGAATTAGCGGACAGACAGAGTCCGGCGGAGATGATTGACATTGCTTTTCGTGGTGAACGTGTCATATTATAACACCCAAATATATAGTGTATTTACACCCAAGATAGAATGGATGCGTGATTGCGAAAAGCAAGGACGGCGTACAGGGCCGCATTCAGGGCTACCTCCGAATGATGGACGTCCACCAACGTGTTGTAAAACAAAGATGACAGTATTTAACGAAGTTATCTAATATAGTGAAGTAGTCATAGTTAAGGGTGTCGCAAAATCAAATTTTTATTCTTGAAGGGGTGTTAAGTTTTTCTACAGATTTTTCAAACTAGACAACATGGAGAAATGCATACCAGAGGTAACCAGCTGCTCTCTATGCACAATGAATCCGTAGTCAACGAGGGGTAGAGATAACACTTTTGTACATGGAATAAATATAAGGCTGTTCAATCAATTGAAAATAGATTTTGAAGGTGCACTTCGGACTTGCATTGTCTGTAGTTTATCTGTAAGTTAATATCTCACTATAACTAGGATTCCCATAATATGTGTTCTGTGACAAAACAAAAACGCGAAACTTACTCACACTCACTTGAAGAACTATCGTCATTAATATTCATGATGATGGATTCAAAATCTCTCACAATTATGTTGTCCAGCTCCCACATTGCTACCTCCACTTTCTCCTGAACATGCTGCACACATTTTTGCCATCTTTCTGGTGTGACCCTCTGTATAGCAATTCTGAACAGCTCTTGCATGTCAGAAAATTTAAATGTTGTATTGTGTGCAGCAACAAAATTCTTAACATCTGCCCATATGAGCTCAATGGGGTTGCGCTTACAGTGGTAAGGCGGCAAACGGAGTACTGTTTTGTGGTGTGCTTTGGCCATTTCATCTATGACATATTATCATGTCTTGGTCTGTGTTATTTCACAATATCTAATAGTTGTAATTTCAGTAAGGAAGGATCGAAAGTTATATTTTTGGAACGGAGCCAGCTCTGAATGTCTGATTTCCTAGAAGCTGAAGTTGGGATTTTTTCTATTTTGCGAGAATGATAGGGAGCATTATCCAAAACAACCACAGAATTGTCTTCGAGACGTGGCAAAATGCCTGAAAACCACTTCTCGACTGCTTCCCCATTCATCTCTTCATGGTAATCAGTGGTTCTTTTTTTACTCAAAAGACCATAAGCCATCATCCACGAAGCCATCTACACCCCCAATGTGGCAAATAATGAGCCGCTAAGTACACATGCACGTCTTGTAGGTACGAAGATAGAGAGATATTGTGCGCAAAAATTGATACCGTGAACTACTTCGATCTATTTACCTGCTGGATTTTTCAATCCGGTCGACAGTCCATCTAGAAATGCCCTTCTGGATGAAGTCACAGTTTTGTCAACCCATACCTTCGGAGTAGTGTGCCCAGCGTTAATCCAGATTTCGTCCATGTAATAGATCTTCCTGTGCTGATCCCTGAATGATTTAATTTTGGTCAGGTACTCTCTCCTCCACAGAACAATTTCTTCTCTATCCATAAGTAAGCTTTTACGACCTCGTTTGGTAACATAACATCCTCGTTAACCTCCCGTAGTACTTTATCAACTGTCGGTATTTCGTTTCTGAAGAAGAACTCGTGCACTTTCCTCCGAATCGCATGCTTGTCAGCGTCATCCAACGATCTTATGATACTTTTGCGATTTTTACCCGTCATTGGCACACGGACTCTGGCGAGGGAACACGTGTGCATGCAACATGCACACATTCTGGCTCAGCCTACGAGATCCGCCGGGTGGTACCACCGCGTTCGACAGTCAGAGACCGTCTACCACCTACGGACAATCCCAGCATCCATAGCCAAGAGAAAAATTTCTCCTGGGACGGGACTCGAACCGGCACAGCGCACGGCGACACAGGAGACCGAAGAGTCTACTACTGCGGCCATCGCTGCTGCCTAATGCCAAGGTGTAGAAAGGATTATTTTTATGAATTTTATAAGGAATAACCTCACAACTACATTGAAAAACCCACAATAAATCAAGGGCGGATCCAGCCTTTGTGTCAGGAGGGCACAGGATTCATGTTCGGGAGAATATTCGTCTCTGGTGGAGGGATTCCGATATAATGAACCATTCTGGGATTTTTGAGATAAACACCCATATTATTTTGGTACAGTTTTATAAATTATGGAACCCTTTCCGAATACTGGTTCCTCCGTTTTGAAAGTTTGGTAATTCTCATAACAAACCCATCCTCAGCGACCTAAAAAACCACGGATACTTTTTCTTCAAAACGGTTGATATTATTGAAATCAAACATAAATAAATTTCTTAAAACAACCTTATGTATCATTACATTGATGTAGATGGAACAGTTAACACTATCGATGCACGTTCCAATTTCCAAAAATATTATTTTCAAATCATTATTTTACAAAGGTGTAAAAAAACTAGCAATATTGTGTTTATGACTAGTCCGTCTCTGGCGAACTAAATGAGTTGTCGTAAGTCAAAACTGACAAATTTTTAAAATAGTTAAAAGCGGTAGACCTTTGGATTCTCTATCAAATGACACGCATATCTTAATGGCGCCATTTTTTAAGTTACGAGACGTTAAAACTTAGGCGACGATTATGAGAAAATTATTTAAGAAAAACTTATTTTCAACGACGTCTCTATCAGGGGCCTGTTTCTCTGGAATCAAGAAGTGTTACGCACATCGAGGTGATCAAATACAATAGTTTCAGAATAGCCCCAAGAGTCACCCATTGAATTCATGCTAAGTTACATATAAAAATATGTAGTAGCATACAGGTACATGTTAATGTGTAACTCTTACGTTTAGACAACCAGGATAATTACTACTTACCATCTCCTTTCAATAAAATTATATATTTTTAATTCTTTGACATAAGAAACTTAATAGAAACATCAAACAGTCCTTAAGACATAAAATTAATATAGTAAAATAAAAATATAACAAACCTTATATCACACTTGATTCTCGCCTTCCACTCTTTATCACGATTCACTATTTTTTCTGCTCTTAGTATTTCACAATCGAAGCACTTTTAAGCACCCTTTGTGAGTCTAAAAATTGTTAGCAGTTGCGCTAAGATAAGATATTTGCTGAGTAACTTAATGTGTGTTATGATGCTTTCTTAACTTATTTAAGAGAGAAAAATTGTAGCTGGCCACCTCACTTCAAATTCGTTCTAAAACAAAAGTCATAATTTATCTACAGTACTACAGTACTTTAGGCATCAGCGGTTGCCGCAGTAGTAGACTCTTCAGTCTCCTGATCAGTCGCCGTGCACTGTGCGGGTTAGAATCCCGTCCCAGGAGAAATTTTTCTCTTGGCTATGGATGTTGTGACTGTCCGTAGGTGGTAGACGGTCTCTGACCACCCGGCGTATCTCGTAGGCGGAGCCAGAATGTGTGCATGTTGCATGCACACGTGTTCCCTCGCCAGAGTCCGTGTGGCGTTCCTCCTTTCCCCTGTATCCCCCTATAGCCCCACGGTACCCAATGGGTGTTTAGGCCTTAGGCCTTCGTGGTAGTTGGAGTATAAAGAAATTCAAATGAATCCGCTTTTCTTTAATTTTGCCCGTTTTTATCAATTTCTCACAGCTTTACAGCTTTAAAGCCGCGCGCAAAAAGGTTTTTCTTGTATTCGTATCCGAATATCTGAATTTTCAATTAACTACCTTAATCACAGAACACATGAGGCTCAATTTAGAATAATGCACTAACGGACATACAGTGTTGGCAAGCCCAAAAATGCAGAACCACTATTTTATTTCTATTTGCGTCAAGCTCAATGTATAGTTAACCCTCTTATTTCCACGCCATTTTCAATGCGCTTAAAAATTGATTAGGGTTGCCAGGTGTGGTGATTTTTCACCTAATCTGGTGATTTCTTACCCGTTTGTATCCATTACATACCTATTTGCAAAGTCTTTATTTTATTAAGGCGCATACAGGCATTGCTAGGCGTGCGTCGCAAATGGTTCGTCTCGCATGCCTCAGGCTGTGTGGACGTTAATAAATAATAACATAGGGTTATGAGACTCTAAACATTCTGATTATTACAATAAATGTAAAATGGAAGACGCGTGGCGTCAAATATCACAACAATCTACAATTTGTATCTCTCGCCTTGCCGGAGTCATTTTTCTTACTGACGAATACCGTACGTGGTGATTTGCGTGCTCAGCTTGAGCATATGTCGTTCGAGACGCATTCATAAATGTACCGTCGTATGCCTCAAGCCTCAGGTTGAGGCATGCCAAACAAACCATTCGTGACGCACGCCTCGCGATGTCTGTATGCGCCTTCAAGTTTATCAAAGAGATTCGAAAGTCATAAATATTATTTAGTGGTCAAACTAGATTCGCCCAGAGGTGTCATGACCTCCCCTGGATCCGCGCTTGCAATAAATAGAAAATAAATGCTACATGTAGTTTCGTTTCAACGCGTGATTTGTGTCTGTCTTTTATCCGTATCCCCATCACTAGGAGTCGTTGAAGATACTGGGTTGTGAACGGGATACAACTGGAAGTTGTTCTGCGGTTTAATTCCGTGTCCCGTGGTACCATTTTTTGACATTTGTGCTTTGACAGTTAAATGTCTTTCTTTTCCATTGTTCCAGATCGTTTCTTTTGGTCATCTTTTTTAAAAAATCTTCATAAATAAATGTTATTAATACTCGAAAACTACAATTGGTACATCTTCAAGAAATCCTGAGTGATGGCAGACACTGCGTTTTCCAAAAATGAAGTTATAGGACTCGTAGTGAGGTTAACTTTAGTCTCTGCTGCAACATTTTTAAGCATAAAATGGATAATGAATCAGATAGATCCCACAAACAAGAGCAAGAAAAAGGCTAGAAAAAGGGCTATGGAACAACTCAAAAGGTAATACATTTTATCTCAGTTTAGAAGATGCTGTAACATCTATTTTTAGGTTATCAGCCACTAGTAATGCGCCTTTAGCCGTAGAGAAGCTAAGCGATTATGAAATGATGATTGCTGCACACTTGGTGCACCCACAGGATATCAAAATCTCATGGCACGATATTGCAGGCCTTGAAAGTCTCATCCAAGAGTTGCGGGAGACTGTCATTTTACCCATACAGCGTAAGGAGCTGTTTGCTGATTCTCAACTTACGACAGCGCCCAAAGGTGAGAATTGATAAGATTAGAAGTTATATACTTTGAAATTTCAGCACACATTGTTAGTACTGGCATCTGAATTCTTGCAATTCTGTTCATATACCAGCTTAGGTTACTTTGAAATGGTGGATTATGATTTCATGGCTCTACTTTAAAAAATGTTAGTGATTTGTTTATGTCTTATTCATGAATCTTTTTGTGTTTTGCCTCATGAGCTTTCAATAATTTGCTATCTGTACTAATAGTTACGTTGCTTTCATAGTGTTAATGAAAGTAAAACAAGTATTTGTGAATTATGGTATTAAACCCTAATTAAAGAATATATTGGATCTGGTAGTTATATTGCTGACTGAATATACTGGGTGATTCACAAGTTGTGACCAAAAATGGAACATCATACACAGGACTGCATTATAAAGATACAGGGTGTTGAAGTTTAAAAATAAAAATAATTTTTTTGTAATATCCTCAAAACCATCTACTGGAATGAACTAAAATTTGGTATGTGGGTTTACCAAAGTATTGTCCACATTCGAAATTCTTTACTTATAATTAATGTGCACTAGCGATGATCTTAGCAGCGACTTGCAAGTCGCCGGGATACCGGTGACAGCGACCTTAAAGTCGCCGGTAGATTTAGCAGCGCTTTAGGTCACTGTTTATCTATGGTCGCTGCCACCAGCCAGCGACTCCCTGGCACTGATTAAATTACTCGATATTTGGCGGCGGTTATCCATTGATATTAACGAGGTGTAGATGTTCAGGTTCCTGAAGATTTGAATTAAACAAAATTTAAGGTTTTTGTTTTTAACAATATTGAGCACAAAACACATAAAATCATAAAAATACATAAAATATCTTTCTATGAATCTTAAAAAGTAAAACAAAATACTATTTTACCAGTCAAAATAAAACTTTTAAAACATAACAAATGTAGTATAAAAATACTTCTTTTATAATATATGTTAAACATTGCTTAATAAACGAAACATTTTTCTATGAAACAGGAACTCACAACAATAACTGTAAAAACTAACAAAATAGGTTAGGCTACGCTGTAGCGACCCTGTACTTCCCGCGCGATGATCGCGAACGCGATGAGTATATGCTTCCTGGCAGCGACCGCGACCGAAACAGCTACCGATCAGTGGTTACCGATACCGATACTTCCAAACAGCGATCTGGGTCGCTGCTTCATGGAGAATCAGGTCGCCGGGACTAACGGCGACCATTCAAGTCACCGGGAAAGGTCGCCGGTACCGATATATCGATCATCTCTAATGTGCACCAGTGGCAGAGATACAGGGGATTAGTGGCATTATTTTTTTAATAAAAATAGTGCGCCACTGTTTTTTTTTTGAAACCGCAATTTTTCGAATTTTACCTTCAATTTGCTACAAATAATTACTGTTGTGTTTTTTCCTAGAGTTTCCTAGTTTCAAAATGAAATTGGAAGCCGTGATACCAACTTTACATTTCTTGGGAGATAGTTTGTCAAAGTTATGTGTTATACAGTTGTTATTTATTTTTTATTTGTTTCTTTATTTAATAACAATAACATCCAATAAAGACCATATACAAAAATTATAAATACACATAAATATATAACACATCAATATAATTCCTCTTCATCAAGTACATCCTGATGACAGAAAGATGCACCTAGATGGTTCAAACCATCTGTATGTGCTTCCATCATCCGGACTTACAAATGAAAAGAAAATGCTATTTATTGGATTATAAAATACAATAAAAAAAAATTCAACCTCAATATCCCGAACAATAGTTCAATCATACTATGATACAAAAAGTCATTAGAAAAACCTTTCAAATTGTGCAGCATTCTCAAAAATATATTCTCTGCAGCTGGTGCTAAATGTTTTAATATTTTTCATCTTTTTTAAGTGTTCTGGCAGAATGTTATATATCTTTGGTCCTATATACGTTATGTATCTTAAGTTTAGGTTATTGTTATTCTTGGGAATTTCTCTTTTTTCCGTTTTTGAGTGTTGTGAAATGGAATTTAGCAATTACGATGCATATCTTGCGGCCAGAGATAAAGTCAGCCACCCATCTGCAAAGCTTTTCTGGGAGGCCATAGGATGGAAGTTTGCTCAAGAGGGCATTGTGCCTCAGCTGATCGAACGCTTTCGTGGAGTCAAGAGCAATGACATGAACCTCACCATGAGACTGTATGAGCTTACTCCACAATTGCGTGACGTATGCTAGGAGGTCCCCTGTGGATCACTGGTGCTGGAAACCATACTGGCTGTCGCTAATCAAGCTGTGACGTTCGAGATAGTCCAGAAGCTGGTGATTTATACACCCCTCCATCACCTTAGTTGTAACAGAAAGCAGAGCTATAGGCCTGTAGTTGTAACAGTCGGTCTTAGATCCCTTTTTTGGTTTTGTGGTTAGATGAATCGCTTTTTACGAGGAATGGAACCTTTAATTCTCATAATGAACATATTTGGTCATTAGAAAATCCCCGTTCTGTAAGAATCCACTCGTTTCAACACAGATTTTCTAGAAATGTCTGGTGCGGCATTTTCAATGGCCAACTGTTTATGCACATAATGCCACAACGTTTAAATGCAAACTCATACTTACATGGAAAATGTGTTACATGATGTTCCATTAGCAACAAGAGTACGAAGGTGCCCCACCTCATGTTCGTCGTGACATAACCGCATGGTTAAATAATCATTTTAGATAACGATGGATTGGCAGAAACGGACCCGAGAATTTCTAATTTGAATCCTCTGGATTTCTTTCTGTGGGGCACCATTAGGTAAATCCACATACCAACTTCTAGTTCATTCCATTTGACGTTTTTGAAGATATTAAATTTTTTTTTTTATTTTCAAACTTCAACACCTCGTATCTTTTTAATGAAGCTCTCAAGGAAAAAATGTATGATGTTTCGTTTTTGGTCACGACTTCTGAATCACCCTGTATTTGATAATAAATGTCTGATTCATTGATTTGCTGTGTTTAGTTTTTCTAAGATAAAACTAACTGATTATATATTCTAATAAAACATATTTATGAATAATGAATCACTATATAAACAATAGATACAGATTTCTTATTTGCTTAGCTTATAAATGCATTTGGCAATAATTAACAGTTTCTGTACTGATATACTCAAACGGCTCTCTCAGTGACAAGAATTTGGTCATCTTGAGGCAAATTTCACACAATTAGTATTTACTATGATCTCTCAGTATTTATCATTGAATATAATTTGTATTTACCTGTAGCCTGGATGTCAGTTATTATTCATACATTAAGTTCTGTAGAAGTCCACCTAAGACTGACAGCATGGTCTGTAAATACTGATGAACCATAGTAAATGCTACTACTTTTCATTTGCCTATATTTTCCAAATGATATAATTCCCCAATGGTGCAGTTCACTTTCTAGACCTCTATCTAACTCTGTTATATAAATTTAGAATTGACTGGTCAGACCACTTCTTCATTCCTAGTATGTCACATTGGATATGTGATAATCCACCAAAAGGAAGCTTTCTTGATAAAACAAACCTACTTCAACAAAATAGCGTTTTATAAATATCATCATACTTTTTTCAAATTAGGGGTGTTGCTGCATGGTCCACCAGGCTGTGGTAAAACCCTTATAGCAAAGGCAACGGCAAAAGAAGCTGGAACTCGCTTTATTAACCTGGATGTATCTATCCTCACAGACAAATGGTATGGAGAGAGCCAGAAGTTAGCTGCAGCTGTATTTACATTGGCTGTAAAAATTCAGCCTTGCATTGTTTTCATTGGTAAGTTGAGCTGCCTTGTAGTAATCACTGCAGCCATTGATTAACATGTTCTACCTGAAGACAACCTAATACTATCTTCCCACATCAAAAAATCATATATGAAAATTTGTCACAGACGTATTTTCTCTCCCCACTAGCTAGAAATCTACTTTGAAAAGGTTAGTGTTTCATAGATGGAACTGTTGCCAAATATATGGTATATGCTAAAATATACAGCACCATCTATGATACCTGTTTTACCTCAACCATTTTTTCACGAATTTATTCAGGTGGATTGCTTCAGTCATCCTGATTATGTTTTGCGGTGTTTAGATCAATGGGCAAATGTGTGGGCTATCTGTCAGAACTCAGTGCTGTCAACGACAACAAATTCTTGCTAGAAACATTTTGAACTTTTATGTCTATTGTAGTTTTGATGCATGAGGAAATCTCATAAACAGGAACCATATTGTTGATTACTGCAGTTCTGTCCCAAGCTCTATACTTGAATTGATAAATTATTCAATATAATGGAAAGGAAAGCAATGCTGGCTCCATGGAGTTTGACGTCCAACTTGAAAAAGCAGAACAAGTTCCAATTTTGAGAAGAAATCCACGAAGAACTTTTGAAAATTGGCCATGAACTCAATTCCTGGCGATATCCGTGGATTTATTGTAAATGTAAAACGGGTATGAGACTAACCCTTTCAAAGTAATTTCTAATAATTCCATCGCAGATAATTTTTTTGATGCGGAACTATAGTATTAGGTTAACTATCTTCAGGTAGAATACATTACTCAATGATGTAACATAATAAAAAGATGCAGATGACTTACTTTTTCTATTGTTTACCACACTGCCAATTCGATATGCCTGTATGTATACATACTCTGACCCACAATAGCTTTACAATATATCATACTCTAATTTCATTTATGTGGTAATTACTTGTACAGTTAAATATAGAGATCTATCAAAATGAATAGCAGGTTTTTAATATTCATAGAGATTTGAAATTATTAGTGTATATCAGACAACCCTTGAAAATGTGTGAGGAAAGTCATAAATTTATAGAAGGCGGTACATAGATAATAAAAGTAAATCGAACAAGGGTTTCAGTAAATTACTGTTTTATGACTATAGTGACAACAATGATTTATCTTTCAGATGAAATTGACTCGTTTCTGAGGGCCAGAACAAGCTCAGATCATGAGGCAACTGCAATGATGAAAGCACAGTTTATGTCCTTGTGGGATGGATTGATCACAGATAATAGTTGTACTGTCATCATCATGGGTGCAACAAACAGACCTCAAGATCTGGATAGGGCCATCCTTAGGAGAATGCCTGCAACATTCCATATCCCTATGCCAAATACAGCTCAGCGCCGGCAGATTATTAGGTTTGTATCACTTAGAACGCACTTTTTAGTCAATGACAGAAACACGTTTCATGTTCAGATACTCAGACTTCTTGAGCGGTGATCTGATTTTTTTAGCAACGGACAATCTCCGTAAAATGGTGGTTAGAGAAAACGCGATGGATTAAACATATCTCTGTTGAGTAATCCCAGATCTAATAAGATTTTGTCAACTCCCAATAAGCCGATAGTTCAAATCCAGCATACATCAAGGTTCATTAATAGATCTTAATATAAGGTTACCGTCACAACTCCAGTTCAAAGGTTTCTGACATTTGAACCAAAAGTAACTGTTTGCAACAATCAATGGTACTGCTTTTATTATTAAATTGATCATCTTACCATGGAAACAGTTATATTTATTTTACTTATGGAAGTACTGCTACTTTTGTGACCCTATTTTGCGACTATATGAACAAACACTTGAAAATGTTGAAGAAGAGTAAGTTTAGTTCTTTCTGTTGCTCTATTTCTCCCTTCATTTCTTTCGTTCTTTTCCTTTTCCCTTAAACATGTTTGGTATCTGGGTAGCCAGACCTGACAGACTAACAGACCGACGAGACTTTTAGCTGAGAGCAAAGGTCCACCGGACCGCTCTGACGAACAATGACGAATAGTATGCAAACAGTATAAATAATCAAGAAATAAGCATGTTTGTCAGTTCACGTGATGACGATTGACGATCACATCAATCGAAACGTCGTGAAACAAAAACTTTATAGATAATGGAAGTCCGACATCTGTATCTGCAATATTTGTTTTTTTTTCTCAGGTTAATCTTAGAAAACGAGCCTATTTCAGACGACGTTGATATTGAAGCTCTAGCCAGATCAACAGAAGGCTTCTCAGGCTCAGATCTGCGCGAACTATGTCGAAACGCTTCTGTCTACAGAGTTCGTGACTACCTGCGCAATCATATCGAGCATCCACGTAGTAACGAAGATGAGGACGAGTACCATGACGCTTTGAGGCCGATCACCATGGAAGATCTGAAGTTCTCCTTCAGCAAGATGCGGGAGAATAAGATCCAATGCGGGTCTCTCCCTATGCAGACTCGTATTGACCTAGACTAGTGGTACGAGTTTGATCTGGGGGCATTTAAAACAAACTATGGACAGTTTAAGGAGCTTTTTGCAAAGTGTAGTTATTGTGTGTAAAAGCTGGTTAAGTATAATGTATGTCCAAATTCGAGTACTATATGGTTATATCTTCGAGTGATATTTGAATGAGTAATAATTGTAGTGCTTTGTGGTCAGGTCACTTTATTGATAAATGAAGAAAATATCACTGTTGTGAAGTGTTTTATTTTCCTTGGAAGGCCTGATATTCCCGCCCTAGAAATTCGACGGGAACGAAACAATTAGTGCAGTTCGCTATCTTGGAGTAAAGATTTTTATAACTGCTTTTATTTCGTACGCCACTGGCAAGGAAGTTTTGTAATCGCGGAAGAATTATGACAGGTACATCAGGAAAACCTTGGCCTGTCTATAACTTGGAAAGTTCTGCTTGGATGTGTATGAAATTATCACACAGGGTTACTACTGTGCCAAGGATGAAAAAACTTTATAGTTTTGAAAATCGGTCCAGCGGCGGTGTTAAACAGAGAAGGCGCTCAAACTTCGTTTCAGATGCTTCTGAACATGTTAAAAAAATGTATAGGTTGTTTTAATGGGGTGGGGGAGGTTGTATATCAATTTTTTGATGTTAGTATATGTATACCCTCCTAACCCTGGTAATTCTACGCACCTATTAGACATATTTCACCCATCATAGATTTCCCCGTACATTTCCCCTCGAAACTTGGAATAATAAGAGAAATGCGCGTCTCTGCGCTGCCTTGCGGTCACTCCGATGGTTGTTCTCCAGGATGCGACTGGCGACTGCCTACGGCGAACGGCATGGCGACTCAACTTATGGTATGGATTAATTATGTGGGTACGTTTGACTCGCTTGATTCGTTTAATTTCTTTGTTATACATTTTTTTAGCTCGGGGCTGGTTTGTCAACGCTGTGGTATTGCGTAGCAAGTGCAGCGTCAACCTGCTTGACTCCATTTCCTTTATAAGCAGGACGACATTCCCCAATGAGCGCTAGATGGGTACTGACCAAAATCGCTCATATATGAACATGAAGGTGGAAACCTTGCCTTGGAATGTACGAGGTACGGTGTTGCCAAGTGAAGCAATGTTGTAGAATTTTACAATTCAAACTTTGCACGCTCAAAATCGAAACGTTTTTTGGGCGTAAAGAATAAACTAACGCATATTTTCAACATGCGTCTTAATTCAAGGAACTGGTGTAACATATTGGCAGCGATCAGCATTGCTAAGCAACGCGGTGGTGAACTTTGCTATCCAGGCGGTTTCTATCTGTTCCTAACATATCACCGTTGAAAATACGTAAAGGCGCATCTCGAAATTCGGCGAAAATTGCATAGATACGCCAATGCAAATATTTCAACGTGCTTCAAGCCGTGACGTGAAGGCGAATCTCAAAAACGCACTGTTCGCTGGATGTGAAATAAAAAGTAAGGGCGCGTTTCTCGAAGTTGAAAAAAATAAATTAGGACGTGAAGGCGCTTCTCAGGATACGCCTTTAATACAAAATTTCAACAGCCCTATCCAAAGTGCTACAAATTTATGATGAAAAAAAACTCATTCCGTCTCTTTGTTCGCAGATGGCTGTTGCGGATAAAATAAGAACTCTACTTGTCTGAGCTCTTGTGTATATTTTGTCTACACTGAAACACACTGAGGATAGAAGTCTTCGATTTTTTATACCTTATCAAAAAAGCGGAAGAACTTAGGACCGTATCGTCAGTCGTTCCTACGATTGCAGGACGGCTTTATGGCCTTGATTTTCATAGTTTTCTACTCTTCCGTGACAGCGTACTATTTTGAGGTTATGTTACAAATATTCATTTGCATAAAATTGTTCGTACTTTTGATTTGCATCATCTATTATATAGCCTGAAATTTCCTACAGTTCAAGAAGAAAACATAGCAATAGGACGCTGACACGGAACAGTAGAAATCTAGAAATATCGCAGCCTTTCTGAAGGAGAGAAAAGACTATCAAAATCAAGGAGGCCATGAAGACGTCCTATATTAATTGTAGGAACGACTAACGATGCCTTGCGCGACGATCAAAACCCTGCAGTTTTTTCGCTGAAATTCAATAATTTCCGGAATTTAAAAAAATTAGCGAGAACCTGCATTGAATTCGAGTTGACGATGAGGGCAATCAGTTTAAGTGGACCGATATTTTTGAATTGATGGTAACCAAAAAGAATCCCTCTAAACTATTTTTCAAAGTCGATCATAAAGATGAAAATTGTAGGGCAATAATCCTTATCTCGTCAACCTGCACCTTTCCAAAACACAACTATTAATCGGTTGAATAAGGAACTTCGTCCAATATCTTTAGAAAAATATAAAAATTTCATGGCGCTATGTACTGGGGATACCCCGTTAATAAATTTACCAGAGCACGTCCAATTTTTATACAAATTTACCCCATACAAGTAAATACATTTTTTAGTTCCAATTTTCCACCTTTTCTATTTTCAATTTCGTTCGTGTTATTATCGTACTAGTATAGTAGTTCTTGTTTTACAGTACTCGTCTGAGAATATTTTAAAAACCGTTTTAATTACTTTGTTTTGCTTCAGCTAAAACATGTGGAATTCTAATGGTCACTAGCTGCATTTTTTAGAATAAATAAACAATTATGTTTTTGAAATATGCATTATTTTGTATAAGATCCAAGCCTTTTAACCTGCTTTCTATACAATCAATAAAGGGCATACCTTGTAAGTAGTTACAAAAGTAATTGTTAATCATGGAACGTAAAGGCGTGTTATAAAAAAAATATTAAAAAATAACTTTGCAGAAATGTATCCAAAAATTGGGTGGTGTATCTTCCAAGGGTGGTAATTTTTTACTTACGTTTGAAACAATATAGCAAATTTCTTTAAAACACTCTCCTGAAAAATCGTTAAAAACTAGATACACCTTTACATATTTTCAACGGCGATATGTGTCTATACACACTTCTTTCTGATAGACATTGAACTCAGCCGTTAGACAAATTTGGTTCTCAGTGTATAATATAAATGTTAAAGCGCAAAAAATACAAACTACCATTAATGCTGGGTCCTGAATCACCTCCAGTGATAAACATGTCATCACTCAATAAGTATGTACCAATTATTAATAAGTGTGTTCTAAAATGCCTCTCTCCGTGCAAGTTCATATTTATCTGGAAACTGGGCTAGTCTGACCTGGAACCTGGAGTAACTTATTTAAGAAGAGGTGCCGCCAGTCTCAGAATCTTTTTGCAAGTATAGTTGTATGTAGAAGCAGTGAAGAATAGTTTGAAATTGAATTTCCAGTGTCTGTTCATCACATAGGTCTGGCCAAACTATATTTTTGATGAGTCCCCATTTCTAATAACTGAAATTTTTATTCACTTTTATTTCCCATGCCACTGGCAAGGAAATATTGTAATTAAGAAAAATTTCGAAAAAGAGATATTGTTTTTTGGATGCGCATACATCACGAAAACCATTTTTCGTTAGTCTATCCATTAACCCTTACTCCCATCATAACTTAAAAAGTGCGTTCGAATTTTTGTTGAAATTTTAAGACAAGGTTGATGCTATGTCAGAGACGAGAGAAATAGAAATCGCTCATCTTTGTTTTTATGTTTCAAAGGCTCCTGATCATTTCTACGAAAATTTTGGTGGAGTTATGGGAGGTTATATCTAAGTTTTTTGGCCATAGTATATTCGCATTCAACTACGCACCTATTACTACATATTTCACACATCATAGGTTTCGTCATTAAAACTTGGAATGTTAGAAACGTATGTATATCTATGAGCACAAAACCCTGTTTGCATCTGACCACCCACCACTGGCTGCTGTGGTTCAGCAATGTTGCCAAATGGTAAATATTAGTAGGGCAGATTTCTCGATTACATTATCAAATGGGTGGATACTATGGAATAATTGTATGGACCTGTTTGACTCACTTGACCCATTTAGTTTTTTGTTACACATGTCCATAGCAAGGCTTTCCGATGAGGGGATGACTTGTAAACTGAACATAATAATCCATGATTAACTGATGACTGCATTGGGAAGTGCAGTCATCCTACTTGACTGTATTTTTTTTTACTAGACTATGGAATACTAGATATTTTAAGAAATGACAAAATAAAAATGATTTGAGAGAAAGATGCAACCAAATGCACGAGGTGACTAATGATGCACAGTTCATGACTAACTCATTTATTCTCCAGAACTGCTTGTTTAAACAAATATAAACATAAAAACATTCATTTGTTTAGACCATCATATATTTTCTTGTGCTACTTAAACGATATTCCACAACTGAATCAAATATCTAACACTAAGATTTCTTAGCATCCTTTTCAGTCTCCAATACTTTTTTTGTACTGTCCTCTTTTCCTTCACTCGATTCAGATTGCTGCATAGCATTGTTCAAGTCATCATCTTCAGATAAGTCCTTGTTGTACAGTGTTGGATATTTCTGCATACACATCTGCATAGTTTTGAACAGATCATAGCAATCACTGCCTTTTGGTTCGGCATCCGAGTAGTGGAAACAACTAAAAGCATTCCTAAATTCAACCCCACAAGGTCCTGTTGCCATCCCTCCTAAACATGGGCAGTTCCAGTTTATATCACCATTGGGCAGTATTAAACCTGGTTGTGGATCAGGTTCAGGCAGTGTAACTTTGCTAGGTTTTTGATGATCTTCTTTTGTGGCAAATATTACTATATCCTTATTATTCGGACCTAACTTCCTACAGTGTGACATTTTCGATAGATTCTCTTTGTCCTACTAGAGCTGCTAGCGAAGTATTGGCGTTATTTACTTTGTAAACACAACTTTTACCTTCGTAAAACCTGGCTAGTGTCAAACTGCTCCTCAACTGAACGTAGTGAGATTTTGGTATTCGGATTATCCCTCTTCGAGTATCTGAATCAAATTTTATTACATCTATACCCACAGCAGCCCCAACTTCGCCGAATAGCTGTTTTACAGCTTCAGTAACATTTTTCTGTAAATATGCTGGAGTGATTTCGTCACTGAAAGAATGTGAAAATTCCAAGGATACGTCTAGATAGTAATAATAAGGCATTTAACCATGGCTCTTCAAGTAAATTTGAAAAACGGCGAAAAAATTGCAATATGAGCACGTTGTATTTCGCGTTTCCCTTTGCAATATGTCAAATAACTTTGACAACTGTCGAAAAAAGACATACAAGCTTCTCTAGTTCACGTTCCACGCTCGACAAGAGCTATTAGAGATGGGCAATGTAAAAAGTCTCTTTTAATCACTGTGGCCAATGTAATCTACTTCAATTTTGTCAAAGTTTCTGTTCTAAATTATAACCAAGTTGTCTTAGTAGTCGTATGACTTATTTTATTGTAATCTCGCAACACTGTATGCTCCACAAGTCTGATATTCTTACTAATCACCTTGAAGACTAACACTCTGTGACTGAGATTGAACCGACCATATCTCCATTGTACTAAATTCTTATATGTAATATCCCAAGAACGAAAAATTTGAAATGCCTAGTTTCTAGAACTGAATCAACAGAATTCATCCATGTGTGTCTAATATAATTTCATTTGGAATGTTCTGCTAAATAGACGGCCATAATTGTAAGATCGTTATTATAAATGATAATTGAGAAATCTGACGATACAAATATTAGGATTATTGTACCGTAGAATTATTGAGTTAATTTACCTTTTTTTTTGTTGATTATACGCATATCATATAATGTGAAAGTTGAATTAGAAATAGATCCTTAAACCAGTAACTACTTATATGGCATATATTTTAGCCACCGAACAAACGTTATAGACATCGAAAGAAAAACGAGCTACAATCATAGCTTGTCATTTAATCTCCCCATGTTATAGTAGTACAAAAAACTATGGTATTTTGATAACAGCGTCACTTCTATCGGCATGTATAAACTATATAGTGTTTCATAACTATACAAACCAAATGACAGTAGTTGTAAAGGTTTGATTGTTTTAAAGGAAGTATCCTCATTTATTAAGGTAGCAAGATATTTATATTACTTTATGCGATACAATGAGGTAGGCTCTCTTGTGTGTATAGAAAATTTTTGAGAAGTTTTCGCACAAGAACATTCGGTGGAAAATCGCCTACTAATCATAGTGAGATACAGAACAATCAAGACCTTTATGGGTTCTTATTTATCCAAGTGAGGAAATCTAACCACAAGGTTCTCAATACCGGTTCGTTAAGCAATCGTTTCGGATACTTCTGGAAATAAGAGAGGCGTAAGGGCATCCTTCATAAACAAACGGTACCACTTACTATGACATCGATAGATGAACGCTAAAGTTAAATATGACTCATACATCAGAGTGACACCCTGCAATTAAAGAACACGCAAGGGCATGAACAAGCAAGGCCCTTACTATGACATCGAATACATGAACGCTCAATTGCTCAAGTAGGGAATGTCAGGGTCTCTGAATAGTATCTCATTTGAGACACACCATGGAGCGTTGCAAATTGTTCGTAAAGTTCTGCTTTGCAGTACTTGAAGACTTTGCATGTGTGTCCTCGCAAGAAAACCCCAAGCCGCACATGCATAAGAAGTGGCTGGTCTAATAAGCATTTTATATAGTCGAACTTTGTTTATCAAACTCAATTCGGAAGATCTACATAACAAAGGATATAGTTGCCGAAACGCAATTTAGAATTTTGTTTTCAACGCTGCTGTATGTTTCTGCCAGGTCATGCCTTTATCAAGGGTGACATCGAAATACTTACCAGAATTTTTCCCTGGTATATAATTTCCGTCTACCGTAACCTCGGCTGTGTGGCCGCGATGTTTTTTTGGTACAATGAATAGCCTGCATTTTCGAATGATTCATTTTAATCAGCCACCGTTCGGCCCACTCTAGTACTTCCTCCACCGCACCTTGCAATTACCCCGTGAATGAACTGGGCGACAAGTGCAGTGTCGTCAGCGTAGACGTAGACTTCACAGTTGCTGGGGCAAGGGACGTCGTGGATAAAAAGCGAGTAAAGGATTGGACCTAGGACCGAGCCCTGAGGAACACCGGTCCGTACTGGCCGCGTTGTCGACAAAATTTTGTTAATTTTAATTCGAAACTTCCTTCCTTCAATGAACGATTTAAATAGTTTTAGAAGTCAAAAAGGAAAACCCTTTTGGATTAGTTTATAGAGGAGGCCCGCGTGCCACACTTGGTCATAGGCTTTTGAGACATTCAAAAGCAAGATGCCAGTACTCATGCTGAGGGTCAACCCTCTGGTTACATGTTCCACCAGCCTGACTGCCTGTAGCTCGGTGCTATGTTCGGAGCGAAACCCAAATTGGATGTCAGAAAACAAACGGTGTGCTAACGAAAAACTCTCTAGGTGATGATAAAGCAGCTTGTCGGCGAGCTTAGAAGGAGCTGACAGCAGACTAATGGGACGTTCATCCTGAGGCAATATCAAACTCACCGTTCTTTGGAATCCATGATGGCATCAGCGGTCTTCCATCCTGCAGGGAAGTGCTGGATTCTGAGTATCGCATTGATGATTGTCACAAAATATGTCAGAGCTTTCGGCGAGAGCAGCTTCAACGCCTTGTTGCCGATTTGATCCTCCCCAGGTGCTTTACGCACCTTGAGGTATTTAATATGACCTAGGAGCTCCGCTGGAGTGCAATGTGGAACTTCAGAGTGTTCCACTAATGTGCTATGTGAAGGCTCAGACACATCTTCTGAAGAGGATTCAGTGCCTCCGCTAGTGCCGTTGACCCTAAAATAACTCCCGACGGATCTTGCGATGAGTTGTTCCTCGTCGAGGTCATTATCAAGATCATAGCTTACTATTTTCCATGGCGTCTGGGAGAACCTCGACCTTATCCTCTGCTATGAAGACTATGTATTCAGGAACTTGAATGCGCGGAGTTGTTCCCGCTTTCCGTTTCTGAGTGACTTTGCGACCCTCCAGAGAAGAAAACTTGAATCAAGCATTCCCGTCAGAAAGTCGCTCCATTGCTCATTGAGCAATTCATGGAGTGAACAAGATTCGTAGCCGTACGAATGTCAAAAGCATGGCAATACCTTTTTAACTGCTTAATAGCGGCTCTTTTGTCACAAATTTTCTGACGAATCTCCGCAGGCAAAAAGTCTGCCATGTCATTATACAAAAGTACTTGTTTATTCCAGTCTCATCATCTATGATCGGGATATTGGGAAACTTTTTAAGGGACAACTTGTCTAACTGCCAGTCAATGCATTTCTTTGGAGGAGCTTCCTCCTCAGAAGTCTGCCCACTGCCCACCTCCAAGACAACAGGTAGGTGATCACTAGAGATATCATACAAGGATCGAGAAGAGATACTGTATCTACAGTTTTTAGATATCGCGAAGTCAATGACATCTGGTGAATGAAGACGATTGAATGGGTGGTGTGTCGGCTCCTGAGTACTATGTACAAGGTACCCGTTTCGTATCACATGGTTGCACAGTCGAATCCCACTAGTAGAATTCAACCTGGAAATCCATGCTCGACGATTGCAGTTGTCTGCTGCCACAATAAGCGGACCCGAGTAGTCCATAAAGCCTTCCAGATCCGCCACTTGTAGTCTCGCACCACACCTGACATACCCCGATGTGATCTTCAACGGGACACCTCTTGCCCTATTGACAACCACAGAACCTGCTTCGATGCTATGCATCTATGCATTCGTGCTTCTGTAATAGTCAATACCGCGTTTAATCAGAATCGCTAAGCCACCACCTCGACCATTCAATCTGTCAGTACGGATAACATCATACTTCGGGACAGCTAGACGATCTCCCGGATTAAGCAACGTTTCCTGCAGCAGGGCCACATCTATGCCTGTACCACTTGTTATGACATGGACAGATGAACGCTAAAGTTAATCCTTTTTCATCCATCCGAGTTGCTCCTTGCGATAATAAGGATGCATGGGGATCCTTCATCGACAAACGGTACTTTTTACCACCAACTGGCGGTACCACTTTCTATGACGTCGTTCGCGTGACGTCTTCCACGCACGCCGAAGAAAGCTGAAGGCTGAATAGCAGCAGTTGCCGCTGATGGTCTTGAACGGTTCTTTTGCTGAATTCCTTCCGTTTGGTTCCGTAGCGGCCAAGCACATCCGCGGCAGCACTACCACGGTACCACCGTAAGTGGGTTAGGAGAAAGTGCACTTTTTAGCACGAGCAGCGATAACGCTGCCGCAGCCGTTTTTCAGTTGGGGTCTGCCCGCTCGACATCGACGGTCGTGCCGCTTCTTATCACATCCTCTGTGCGCGCTACTTCTGGACACTGTAACAATCACAAATTCAAATTCTGTAAGTATTTTTTGTTACTACGTTTTCCCGCCCATACGAACAATTCTAGCGCACTCAACATTGTATTAGTTTTCATACACCTCACATTTCTCGAAAACCGATCTTCATTTTGATTGATTACTTTTTCCTATTAATCGATTTTTAGAAATCGGGTTTACTTCCCTCGCCTACTGGCGAGGAAGTATTGTAATTTTCTAACATGAGATATTGTTTTTTGAATGTTATCTGGCGTGTACATCACGAAAAACATTTTCTGTCTGCCTGTTGGTCTGTCGGTCTCTCCGCTCATCCCTGGCCCGTCTATAGCTTGGAAAGTGCTGCTCAGACTTGAATGAAATTTTTACATAAGGTTCCTATTAAGCTAAAGACAAAAAAATTTTGAAGCAGCGGAGAAAAATTCCAAAAAGGAAAAAATAAAAATCACTCAAACTTCGTTTATCGACGTTCCATAGGATCCTGATCATTTTCTAGGGATAAAATATTGGGTGGTGGGGGGTTGTATGCGGTGAGGAGAGTGTATCGGCAGCCATCTAGCGGTCACGTGGTGACTGGACTATTAAACGCGAACTGAGACCCCTGGCAGTTGCAACTAATAGCAGCTATGCGCTTTCCACAGTGGTCGATTCTGGTGTGATAGATGGCGCTTTGCGCTGTCTTATTTCGCTACATGGGGCTTCTCATTTTAAAACCTACCTTACTCTGAGAAAAATTCCTGCAGGCGTCCATGCTTTCGAGTTCTTGGACGCGAGATAGCGACTGAGTCCTTGCGTTTCATTTTCTTTATGCCCCTAGTGTACCAAGTACAACATTTTGTAGGAAGTTACTGAAGGCTTAGATTATATTTAACGTTTGCTGACATGGACTAGTGTATAAGAAATAACCATAAACAAATGTTTAATTTAGCAAATCGTGTTAATTCATATGAGATAAACATATAAAATAGGTGTTAATACTCAGGAAAATGATGACGAACAAATCCAAATGTAATACCACAATCTATGCTTCAATTTTGCATATTTACTTTAATAACTAAGCACATAGAAGTTTTATCAAAGTTTATTTGGCTCTAGCGGCAATAATTTCTGTTTGCTGTTTGTGCCCATGAATTTTGATCAAATTACTACCAACTCCGCCGAATATTTACCTACTTTACATAATCCATAATAATATACTGACTGTAACTATTTTAGTATAGAAGCAGTGGTATTGTGTATAGTTCTGCTGACCTACTTTTACTTCAGTTACATATTCAGCCTGCCAGAACCTTATTTGTGGCCTTATAAATAAATGTAAACGAAAAATACAGTGGCAATGAATATTGAGAAACAACCATTAACTTCTTGACTTTTTAAACAGTTTTAAATCATTCATAGACTTAAAAAATGCTTTGCATTACTAAACTCTTTGAACCTATGACCTATGCTACCAATGGTCAATTTAATCGTATGTATGTGCTCAACATTTTCCAAAACCAGACTAAACCGAAGATCTTTTTTGGAAATAATATGTAGCTGTTTCGCAGCACACTTTGAAAAATGGATACTATCGGTTCCATTTGTTTTATTGGGCCAAGCTCCATTTTATTATCAACATAGAAACTTGACAATCACTAATAGAATTTTATAGAATAAGTGGAATTGCATATTATGTCTAGAGTTTTTTTTTATTTATGAATATTTTGATACAAAATGAAAAAATACATATAATACAAAAATTGTCATTATAATTGGATTCAGCGTAATTTAATAAATAATCTTCTAAGGAAACTATGAATGAAACAATACGGCAGACAAACCGGCGAACAAGCTTTATGGATAGTAGGTACGGAAAATGTCCAGGTGACCAAAACCTGAAATGATGAACTTGGTTAGAATAAGCAATTTGGCAATATTTTATGTGGAAAGATATTGAGATTGAGGAACTTCTTCCATGGCTGAAGCCCCAACATCCTGAAAGCATCCCCCGTCTCAAAAATTATGATGACCAACTAGAGTAAGACACATTTTAAATCCATGGCAAATAGTTAAAAGGGCATAAGTTATTTTTTTCGTCTTATGTAGAATTAACTTGAAGCTTTTTTCCAAGGAGACTAGACGAATTTGATACTTTCCTCAATTTTGATTGTGATTTTAATTTAATGGCCTTTCATTCATATAACTTCTTATACAATTTTACTGCATTGCCCTAATAGGCGGATATGCGCTCTCTCAACGAATACATAAAAATGTCATATATCGAAAAAATTGACTTTCAGATATTACCACAGAAACTCGATTGGCAGAAATTCATAATGAAATGTCTAAATTATCCATTTTTATAGAATTCGATGAGAGAAAATGCTTTTTATAATAATGTCCAAAAATGATAGAGAACTCTAAAAACATAATCTGAGGATTTTTAAAAATATTCTCGTTATTTGCTAATTCAGGAATTTAAAAGTTTGGTGAAAGCTCGCACTATAAACTCATATGCATATGGTATTTATAATACTTCTACTCCTTAGGTGTATCAGTCGTTCATGGATACAAAAAAGCGTCAAGCAAGTTGACTCTGTGCTCACGTAAACTACAAATCTTGGGGCAGATAACTGATATTTTTAATAAAGTAGATACATGGGAATTTTATTTTTTTAAAATAATATCATTGAGATGTGAGTCATCGAGACGTACGCACTCCTCGAAGGACGTCGCAACTTCGCTTACAGTTTCCTCTGTTCGTATTGACCTTGGACGCAGTGCAGGTTTCTGATTCAGTGTCGAACCGGTAGACTCGAACTTTCTGACCGACGACCTGATCACACTTTCACTAGGACATTGGTTTAGATCATATAAACTAAACAGATAATTCGTACGTCTTTCTGGTCCACTCTGTATATGAGTCGGCTTTTGTACGTTTTGGTATCTTTATTGTTAGAAGGCTATAAAAATCATTGCACCCTGACATGAGGCCGTAGAGTAGAATGAATGTTATCATGTGTATCATTGAAAAAGGAGCATTGCCAGTTTGGGTTTTTTTAAATCATTCTTACACGTCTGTATATCGACATGCGGTATTGTGATTTTGCTTGAGGAAAACGTACTAAAAATAGATGGGAATGCTTTCTTCATTCTTCGAAACACCTTCATATTCGCAGAAGACTGATAAACGTCTATCCGTTATTCAATACCTGAATAATTATATCCCTATTGTTTATGTATATTCAATAGAATATTCTTAGCTGGTCACGTAAAAAAATCATCCCATGGATTTCCCCCGAAATGCGGTAGTTGCCGCTATAGCTTTTAAAAAAAATATTTCTAAAAGTTTTGAGGACAAATATACGAAGAAATCTATATGTGAAATATACATAGAATTACTGCGGTTAGAGCTTTGCCCTCCAATTTTTCCCCCTCAAAAACTTTCAAAAACGATCAGGAGTCTCTGAAACGTAAACAACGAAGCGATTGTTATTTTTTATTCCCACGCCTATTGGCGGGAAAGCATTGTAATCGCAAAAATGAGAAATCATGATTTAAGATGTCACATGACATATACAGGGGGGCGCATCGAAAACGAAACAGACGCATTTACTGGCAGTTCAGTTTTTTTTTTGGAAAAACGCTCAGACCCGTCGATTTTGTTTTCGAGGGGGACACAAGTTTGGCAAAAAATCACGTTAACACATGCAGCCCCCTGGGCGGGGGTGACACCAACCCTAAAATCTTAAATGGAAAGGGGGGTCGAGTGATACCTTACTTTAAAGGTCTTTCCATTCCCTTTATGATGATGTAAAATACATGAGCTGCAGTTCAGTAGTTTTAAAGATTTATTGATTTAAAGCTTAAAGTAGACTTTAATAGGTACAGCAGATTAGTTTGTAGTACTTTCAGTAGAAATTTGACAAAAAGGATTTACTTAATAAGTAAATGCTTTTCTTCACTATCTTCACTACGCCCATGGTTTGTTTATCATGTTGTTGTTGAAAATAGCTATTAGAGCGTTTTTTGTGGCAAAAATGTTATTTCTTCTTATTTTAAATAGGAATTTAGTACATAGTTTGCGATTGATTTGACCAAACTTTGTTGCTAAAATAACTTGTAACGCTTTATTACATAAATTAACCATGCTATATTGCACAGTAGAAAGAGTTGAAACTATCGAAATATTTTTCGGAAATAATCAGTGCGCTAGTAGAACAGCAGAAATATTTAATGAGCGACATGAGAACAGTAACGTGCATCGAAAATATGTTCTAGAACTTGTAGCTAAATTTTGGGAAACTGGGTCAGTCGCCAATAAAAAACGCAACATTGAAAATCCCATAAGGAACGAAGCAATATAAGTTTAGGGCAAGTTTATGTAGATCCTACGTTAAGTACCCGCAAATTGAAGACTGTGTGTGGTGTTAGTCGAGGTACTGTCCAACGGATTCTAAAGGCCCATAGTTTTCATCCGTATAAAATTCACCTGGTACAAGAACTTAATGAAGACGATTTTGATCGGCGATTACAATTTTGTGAAGATATGAGTGAACGAATTATGAACGATGAACATTTTCTATTTAACACTTGCTTTTCCGACGAATGTTCCTTTTTCTTAAATGGCGTAGTAAATCGTCATAACTGCCGATATTGGTCCGATTCTAATCCCAGAATTTATCATGAGGTTCAAACACAGCAGCCACAAAAATTAAATGTTTGAGCTGGTATTTTTGGCGATCATTTAGTTAGTTCTTTTTTCTTATGGAAATGTATTTGGAATTACTGGAAGATGCCATAGATCCTGCATTAACAGCCATAATTGAAAATCAGAATGATCGGCGGTACATTGCGAATAGGTTGATGATGCAACAGGATGGTGCCCCACCACATTACGCATTACGTGTTCGACAATATTTAGATCAGACGTTTCCAGATCGATGGATTGGTAGAACAGGTGCCATTGAATGGCTCCCAAGATCGCCAGATTTATCACCTTTGGATTTCTTTATGTGTGGTCATTTAAAAAGCAAAATCTATGCT